GAAACGGCAATAATTTTATCGACTTACAATACGATATTCGTAACTTCATCAGTCATTGAGATAACTGTTTGTATTTGTAACAATAATAGAATTATCTAATTTGATTTAAGTTGCTCGAGATTCTAAAGATTAAATTTTACAAATACGGGTAAATTTCCGATTACAAAATTGCTTCTGAAAAATTCAGATTAAACCCCCAAACAGTTCCGTAAGCACATGAAATTTTTATTGTTTTTATCATACTTGGCCATCTTATTGAAATTAATAATAAGCATCAAACTCCTTAAAACTATTTTTTCAACATTACAGTAATAAATTACTTATAGTTACTTTGAGTTTGAATAGCCTGAAGGGTATGTTATGCGTGCAGCATTGAAAGACCACATTTACTAAGTAAAGTAAATCACATTTTGAATTAGGATTTAATATGTTAAGCATACCTCTATATTCATTAAAAAAAAGAAAGAAATAGCACAACATTTTAAAATACAAAATTTAACTGATGTATCCAGTCTTATATGATCGAGAAAAAGTCTTCTAGTAAGCTATGAAATTTATTTTTAAACTAATGATGTTGGCGTTGACATGGACTGAACAAGAAACGCGTTAGTGTTGTTTTTTAAACATTAAGTTTCAAAGGTTGCTAAATGACTTTTTTTCTCGATCATGTCTGAAAACAATTAATAATAATGAATGAATTATTGAAGTTTTAAAAATGCCGAGCCTAAATTCAGACAAAAGGCTTCCTTAAGAGATGGTACAGCATTTGGAAATTGTCAATTAATTAAACGTTAATAAAGACACCGTCTTGTTAAATTCATGAACATGGATAGATCGTTCGTCACGACAGCAGGAGATGATGAATTAGTCAGTTTTCTGTTAAGGAAGAAACCAATTTTCCAGGCTCTCTTCAAACAGCCCGCCGAAGAATTAGAGAAACTACCTACGAAATTATTGAGATGCGAATACATTTTTTACTCAAGCGGACGAAAAGACATTTTAATATTCATATAATGGCCGTCTTCGTTTGTCCACACCTGCTAAAGCAAGATATAATGCACTGTATACCAGAAAAATTACCGGAGGGTCTCAATTCTCCGTAAATGTTTAGAGATGAATAAGAAGTCCAGGTGTGTGTGCCCAGCTATGGCGCGACTACTTGATGAATGCTTATTGCCTTCAGTTCCGCCAATTTTACATTTGAACAAGTAATAGTTTTAAATAACACTACATCAGTGCCCTACCTTGGCCATCGAAAAGCCCCAAATTAAATCCCATCGAAAATATTTGGTGTCACATGGTGAAAAAAATTTAGTAAGAGAGCACTTCCGACCGCAGAATCAATTCGATTTGAGGAAAAAATCGTAGGCGTTTGCACAAATGTTCTGTCTCAATTTTTTGAACGCGAGGGTATTTTGTACAGCTTACTTTTTGGTTTTATTCTGTAAAACAACAATAATTGGTTAACCAAAAATGAACTATTTCGAAACTATGCTTTATAAGTAAAAATATCCGCATCGAGATGGGTTTCACTATGATATGAATAAAATTCATATTCACAGAAAAATGAGCGGTTACATATATTTTTCCACTTATCGATAGAAGTGTTGACCTTCAGAGGGTACATACCGGTACATACTTTCGCACTACTCAATTTATATTGAAACTTAAGAATAGCTTTACGACTTGCTATTATTAGACAAGCAATTCAATATAACTAAAAAAGAGTATTATAAAAATAAATTTTAATGGTGCAAGCTCTTTGAGTATTTGAAACATGTAAGCAGTCCACTGATTAATTTATGTCATGCCTTTCTGCCGAACAGTACCGAAATGTGAACTTGTAGTAAATTAAAAAGGCATTGCACAATTTCGAGTTCATAATCAATAAATAGCACCGGACAATAGTATATTATACTATGAGCAATTATTCACGAAGTTCACGTTTTTGAAATGAGCCGTAGACGAGTGAAGCAAATCATGTGAATGAATAATGGCCATAATTGCGAATATACTAATATACATTTTGTATTCCTAAATCGAGAAAAAGATCACAACGCAAATGCCATGGCAACACCACTTTTCGTTGATAGTTAAGTTAGAATAAGCACGGGCAATTTGAAATAATAATGGATCGTTGTTATAGTGTAACTACCAAAAGTTTTTTCTTATTCGCTTAAATTACCCCTGAAATATTTACTGTGTATTAGTACTAATCGAAAAAATTATAATAATGCGAATATTAAGCAGGAGTAGAGAACTACTTATACAGGGTGTCTCAGAAATAAGTACATTAATTTTAACCAGTAACAGAACTCGTGAAACGGAACAACTTTTTTATCTAGCATTTTTTCGAAAACTCAAGTCGAATTTCGAATTTTCCCACCCATATATTCACGAGCCGTCTATGTTCACCTTAAATAATAACTTAAATAATAGCAACACTACAACAATGAAGAAGGTACCATAGCAACCGTTTTGACACTGACAATCATTTTTATGTCAATGTTTTTATTAAACGTTGTCTCTTTAAAGTTTGTTTGGCACAGATTTCTAATTTATAGACGAAATGTGTTGAAATGGCTTTGTTTTCAAATCTGGAATGCACCGATATCGTTTTAACTAACGTACGGTGAAGCTCGGGGAAACGGCACTCGCGCCCAACAAATTTTTTCAGAAAACCTCCCAAATCGTCTGCCAAATGTGCGCAGTTTTAAGAACGTTGCAGCATTTTCGAGGGTACGGATCTTTTAAACCTGCACCTCAGGATCGGGGTAAGTTACGTAGTAATAGAATTGCTAATATTGAAGAGGCTGTTTTGAAGAGTGTCGAAGCTCGACCGGGCACTAGCACGCATCACTGTCTAGTGTGATGTATCAGAGAGTAGTATTTGGAGGATACTCAGAGAACAAATGTACCCCTTTCAGGACCAGAAAGTTCAGTTATTGAAACTAACACACTTACCACGTAGGCAAAACTTTTGTGAGTGGGTTAATAGAAAAATAAACGAACAAGCAAATTTTGTATCTCTTATACCATCAACTGATGAGGTCGGTTACACGAGGGAAGGTGTTCAACACCCACATTTGGGCCGATGAAATTCCGTACGCGATTAGGGAGCAGGATTTTCAATTTCTCTCTAAATGTTTGTCACATTGACAAGATTAGGAAAACACGTATCCTAGTAACTGTTTTTGACCATAAATTATTAATTACAATAATTATTAGTGTCCATGGGTGACTGAGGATCCATGGGCGGGTAACCTTAATTCGGGTATAACTTTAACAATTTTTAACTTGATAATTAAAAAGTTCTTGACAAAACTCTACTAAAAAAAGTTGTTGAGTTCAATGAGCTCTATAACTGATTAAAATTAATGTACTTATTTCTGAGACACCCTGTATATTTATGAAGAACAGAAAAATACTGAGTAGCTCTGTTGTTCGATTTACGAAAATATTTTAATACCTTGGTGCCCACGTATATATCGGGGAATGTTTATACTTAACTCTTAAGCCAAAAATGTACAAAAAAAATCGCCACCTTAATTATATTCTGTGCAGGCAGAAACGTCTGCTTTATGAAGGGTTTTGTTTTTTAATATTGTAATGGTCATCATTCATCAAGACTACATGCAACCAATCTGGCTTGACTTAAGAAAAAAAACTTCCTATGTAACGCAGTATCCTGTATCAAATTTATTAATTGTAAAACCTACTTGTGCAATACACTGATTCATGAAAACCAATATTTTTCAAAACATTCTAATAGGTATCTAATTAATTATACATAGAGCGTAGTACAAATCAATATATCAGGACGTCAGACTTTATCACTAAATAACGTAACACGCATTTTTAATTTTCGTTCTTTATGCTCCACGAGTGCCATCGACAGCCCTAAAGTTAAACCAATCATCAGTGGAGTAACATTTAAATTATTTATTGTTAAAACTTCACTTGACATGATTAAAACTAGAGCCGTCGGAAAGGTATAGATAAGGGAAGGTAAACGATGTGGGAATATTGTCTGTACTTTGTTTTCCTGCATTAATTTTCAATTGAAGGATTTTGCGACACCATTGTGTTTAGCTTAGAAACCTTTAGAGCAGTTGAGATTACTCTTAGTCGTGCATATCAGGATTTGCCACACATTAAAAAAGTAACAATAAGATCGAGGTAACCTTACCTGGTTGTTAGATATGTAAAATGGTTCTGTTAAACTCCAGTCATGTAAACTTTCATAAAGTATTTTTGCCACATACCATGAACATCCATATTCCTGATTAGTGATTAATGTACAATAAACCTGCGGCGTCAATGTACATAGTCCAATTACCTAATATCGGTTTGCAAAACTCCCGCACTGTCAGTGTCAGATTTGGAAAAAATGACCTGAGTGTACTCAGTGGTGAGATGTGAAAAACCTGTACAATATGTTGCAAAATTGCAATCTAGTGACAAATTAGTAACTAAAAATAACTTGTCAAATAAAAATGTCAAAAGCTCATTAACTGAAGATTTTTATCAATTCAAGTAAAGAAAGAGTATGACACACGAACGACAACGAAAGCTTTTTTTGAATAATATATATTTTTGACCTTACTGTCCATTTCTACGCTTTTGGTGCTACAATTTGTTTGAATTACTGACAAGTTCTTTAAACACAATGAACACTTCAGCAAATCAAAAAGTTAAAATAGTTAATAAACATTTGATTTTTCATTCATTAATTTTGAAAATTTGAAATTCAAGGCGGTAATCATATAAACTTAAAAATCTTTTAGGGGATTATTTCTCATACCAACAGAATGTCATTCTGACAGTGCGGGAGTTTTACGAACGGATATTAAGAATTTTTTGACAAGACTTGGATTAATGTCATGATTAATGTTTACAAACAGATGAAATGGGAAAAGTAATCACGTTTAGATCACTAGATTTAACACCATTAAAATGTGTATTTTAGAAACCAACAAACATTTTTTTTTACTTTACAGGTGAAAAGCGTGGGTCCCAAGCTTGTTCCATTTTTCAAGACCGTTGCCATCTACTTCGTCGTTTTCTTGCCGGATACTGTACCGTCAGTTTCATCGACACTACTTAAATGCTTGCCAATATTAAGTCTAATGCTATTTGTATTACTCCATGGCATGAGTCTAGGCGATGAGTAAGTATTTTACTTTCACGTAGCCACATTCATTGTGATTTTTTTTAGGTACAAATATTCCAGAAGAATATTAGTAGGATTAATATTCTGCTGCTTCGGCGACGCTTTCTTGATATGGCCTGGCTACTTCGAGATGGGAATGTTAGCCTTTGCAATAGGACACATAAATTATATTTTAGCGTTTGGTTTTAAACCACTAAATCTGACTTTAGGGGTAGGCTTATACGCTTTGACAGTAATGAGTACGAAAATAAACAAACAATGAGGAATTTTTCATTGTTATTTGTGTTTCAGACTTGGTGTATCTAATGCCCGGTTTACACGGAATTCTTGTTCCTGGGGTTATTATATACACACTCATACTGACGACAATGATGTGGCGAGCAATCGCCAGAGCACAAGTTTCTGAAGTAAGTTTTATCAACAAAAAATATGTACATAATAAAAATTCACTGTTTAAGGACTTATGGACGTGGAGTAAACTTTCTTCTTGCGCTGGTTGCATTCTTTTCGGTGTTTCCGATTTAATACTCGGCATTGATCGATTTAGGCAACCCGTTGATTACTCACAGGTAAACTACTCATAAGTGTATATTTTGATTTAAAATTTATATATTTTAGGTTTTGATTATGTCAACTTATTATGCAGCCCAACTTGGTATTGCTCTCAGTGTTGTAGATGCCAAACCACAACCCGTGCGTCCCCAATCACAAAAATAAACATAAGTAGTCAATTAAAGTTTAAGATATACACCTATACACTGTAATTTGTGTTCAAGTCGTAGTAGTCTTCCATGTGATAAAAATTTTACACAAGACTAAACATCCTGGCTCTGTCTGTTCTCGTAATTTTGGTGTTCTTCTGAATCAGTACTTTGCTTGTTCCACGGCGTAGCGTAGCGTCGCCAGGAATATGTAATATTTTTACTTCACTTCTAAAAAAACTGAAATTATTGATTACAGACAAAGCAACAACACTTCAGTTTTAGTCTTTTGGCAAGTGTAATTAAATGTCTAGGGAATTTTTTATATCAACATATGGTATCACATCACACACACCTGGGATGCAATCTGATCGAGTATTAAAGCAACAGATGCCCAGAAGATAGCCACCTTACAAATCTCTAATGGTTTTTTGTTGACTGTCATAAAGACGCACTGTGTCAAAAATTTCATGTCAGGTTGTGATCAGAATTACCAATGAGATTTCACTAAGATTTATTACAAGTGACATTACATCAAACATTTATTGTTAATTTTCAATCTATATTCCTTCCTATGTTGGTGTTATCATAAAGTTCCTTCTGTAATGTGGATTTTATTGTACAAGAGTTGTCATATTTCAAAACTAAGTGATTTTGGCAACAAGCATTTATTGTTGTAAGAAACGGTGAACTTTGCTATACTCAAAAAAACTGTAGCAAGTCACCCCAGATATGTAAACTATTTCACTGAATTATTTAATGGGTTGGTTGGGTAGAACAAAAACTGTAATTTTTAAAAAGTTCTATTGGACTAAACTGCATTATAGTTCACATTTTTTTTGCCAGACTTGTTAGAATATTGAGAATGTAGTAAGAATTTCCAGGAAAATGTGTATGAATATAAAATAGGCAGTATATTTACAAAAATGAGTGACTAGTTAGCTCATGACAAATTTAAACAAGTTTGTGATCATGTATAGTTGATGTACACTTTTTTCATACACATGGTACGTTATAGATGACTGCATATATTATTAAATGAGTACTGATTTTTCATGACAGCTGCAAAAAAATTTGTATTTTTTTAAATTTAGACATTACTGTTTTAAGTCTGATTTATTATTATGAATAAAATTGATAAAATCGTTAAAAAATTAGATATTTTAAATAACTACAATAGGTCTTAGGTGTGGTAGAAAATAATAAAGCTCAGTTTTATAGTCTTCCTTTTTAGTTTTATTTCATAACTGATAAGTTGCACACTGTCTGTGATTTTTAATGTAGGTACAACTTTGTTTCTAGATTTGTGTTAAAAAATGTAACATAATACTTACAATTATACAAAATAAATTGTTTTTTTAAACTTATCTAAATACATTATCTTACAAACAACATTGTACTTTACCTAGTGTTTCAAGGACGTAGCAATGCATCTCGTTGACTGCTATGTCAAATTTAAAATTTTAAGATTATAATTATCATCACCAGATGGCGCCTTATGTATTCTACCAATTGGTGTTAGATAACAAAACCTGTAAATATTAACAAACTTTACATATACTCACGTAATCGGTGATCTACATTCTGTGAACAACTGCGACGTATTCTTATAAATATCGTTTTTTAAATCTCATACATCACATAGTAATTAATTTACACGTTATGATACATAGTAAGTACCCAAAACAACAGTTTTAAATTTCAGTTAATTTACAGTTTTAAAGGATGAAATTGGCAGAATTCCTATAATTATTTCAAATCACATTATTTACTTTCTGTGACTGTTATCTTATCTAAAAAAATATGCTTTACCAACAACTGTTTGACTACCTACAAACTGACACGTTTAAATTGCACTAAGACTAGAATCACACTGTAGTAATCAGTAACCGTTCTTGTGAATGCTTACTGGTAATAGCATATTTATAAACAAAGTAAGGCAGAAAGATGGCTTAATGATGAAGGTAACTACAATGATGATGTATGTTAACGATGCAAACTGCGACTCTTATTACGAACTAGTAATTCATTAGTAGTCAAAGTATCAGAAATTGGACTCTGAACCAGACCTGACTGAGTACTGTGAACACTGCGACCCTCTCGAAATACAACTATAGTCCTTCTGCGAAGAAGAATTACCTTTTTCCAACAGAACGCCTGCTTCCATTTCGTTCATTTCCTGCGAATTGCTGGAACTATTGCTCGAGTTCCCCCTCTGCCGAACCATATACGGGGTGTTATTTGGCGACGGTGTATCACGCCCCTAAAACCATTCCATTTATAAAAAACAACCTTCAAACTCGACACGTGTTAGTCGTCAAAATGATCATTAAGACATGTTTTCGTCTCTCCATGCTATGTTGTATTAGTAAAATGCCATGTCTTAATGCCGAAAAATCAATCAAGATTGAGGATTAAGATAAATTTTATTGGCAAAATATCACATGACGTTTTTCGAGAGAAGATAATTAAACACACAGGTGATCACAGCAGTTATGGTTATAGCAAAAAACCAAAATTTAATACCCCGATCCATATTTTATTTACACGCTCTCACTTTCAAAAGTCTTCTCTCCAACTGGGAAAAAAGCAAAAGTTTTACTGCAAGTTTTATGTATTGGGCAAAATCAATCAATGAATTCGACGATATGTTGATTATAAACTCACTTGTTTTGATGGTCCGCAGCACGTGTTTTGAACGCAGTTATCGCTATCTGTGGTTTTTGGGCAGTCTAGAACACAGTCTTCGGTTTGGTCGTTATCGGTGACTTCCGGAAACGCTCTAAAATCTATAAACTCCGGTTGGATTGTCGTCGAGTGTATACCTTCATTGTGGAAGAATTCTTTTACTTTTTCTGCTATTTTCATATATTCAGACAGATTTCGGCACCTGTAAACAAAAAAGTCTACATCAATAATAAAATTACATAAATCACACAAAAATGTACACTGTTAGTTATTTATAGTTTTCATATTTTATTTTATACAGAAAACATATGCTTATCCAGCAGTCTACTTAGCAGGAAACAATAAATGTACAGTAAAATAATATTACTTTATCGTTCTCTGAGTAATCCAATTAACATGGGAAGATATTCTACATATTAAAAAATACAATACATATTGTGTTACCGTGTTGAGAATGTGTAATACAATTATGTATTCTGTTAAAGCAATTTAAATATAATTGTTCTAATAGTCATGTAGCTTGAAATTAAAATATGATGGCACTGTTATTATTTCCACATACACATCAGATATTCTATACGCATAACTAGTTTGTCGTTTATCAAGACCCTCAAAATTTAATTAAGACATACAAACACACACAATTAAATTACAAGTCGTAAGTCGAGTGATCAAGGTTTTTGCACGTTACGTCGCGCATTTAGATGCTCCATTATTAGTCGAAAGTCTAGTCCAACCAATTTGATTTTATAACAACTTATTTTAAACTCCAAAATTTTTTATGTGCAAAGTGTAGAAGCGATAATGTAAATTTATCAAACACAAATTGTGTGAATAGTACAACATACGTATATACAAGATACATGGTGGCGTCCCAACAACGATACACATAATTAAGGATTAGGATAGTAGAGTAAAGAACTGAAAACGTAGCCAAAAAAATTATTTTCTAGTTTCTACCAAGTGATGAACGTAAATTTTTTTTTTTATATATTAACTTAAACCACGTGTAGGAAATCACGAAATATGGCATCTTCATAAGTTTATGATATTTAAGCTTTATCTTCATAGCAAATATTTTTCCTCTTACCATTATGCGCTAGTATATTATATTAATTATCTTAATTTTTGGCAATTATTTGTCCGTTTAACATTACCAATATGTGTGTACTTAAGATTGGTGTTGGTTCCTCGTGCAAATCATTGTCAAAAAGTATACGCTGAATATGCCTGGTAAATTTACATAGTCAATCCTCTGCATTATCTTTTGAATAAATTATCTCGTACACTGTTGTGTTCACGTAGACTTAAGGAAATTGTTTTCACAGAGATATTAGTAACAATTTATGAGTCTGGACATTGCATTATCTCTTATCACATTCTCGTTGGGGTCATTCTTTTGTTCATAAAATAATTGGACTCAAGCTTAGACCAGTTGTTTAGAAAAAAAATGGTCGAAGGTGATTTCGACAGAACTCCCTCGCCTCTGAAGTACAGTCTAACAAATCCCGCTTCTTTGAAAAATGAAATTAGATTTTGCGATTTTTATTTTGTGATAACCTCTACAAAATAAAACCAGCGGCATAAATAACACCCCGCAAAACAGATAACTAACAGCAAAAAAGTATTTCAGCATTTTGGGGGGATGTCATCACGTTTTTGGTGGGAATGATCAGACAAATTTTGGTTAATGTTTCACCATTTACACGATATTCATAACATATATCAAAAATTTGGCAACAATCGATACAGTAGTTTCGTTACTTAGGAAAATGCAGAAAGATGGCAGACAGACAGACAGACAGACGGAAGACCTATTGTTTCGTATTCGAGGGGTCATGAGTTCATGAAAATAAATGAATGACAATGAAAATATGTTAAAAGTCGTCGAATAACTCCCACTACAACTATGCACTGCACTTCATAAGCGTTTGAGAGGCAGCATAACGTCAGACTCCATATATCTACTCGTTGATAATATATACTAATTAATGAAATGTTTGATCAAATACTGATGTTCAACATTTCCATCCAAGAAAATTGAATTATTTGTGTACGTGTACAGAATTACCACGGATGATTTAAATATTGTTTCCATTTTTTGTTACAACTCAAAAAAAAAATAACTAGTAAAAGAAATTCTAATTCAAAATGTTTTTTATTACTTCCCGAGCGTAAGCAAAGGAAGTATTGTAATCGAGTCCGTCGGCCGACTCTCTACTTTTACGTTTTCTCGATCTTTCATGACCCCTAGAAGACGAAGAAATGGGTCTCCCATTTCCGTCTGTCTGTCCGTCTGTCCGTCTGTTGTCCCGGATTTTTATTAGACAGATAATCTCCGAAAGTACTCGACCGATTGTTGTGAAATTTTGTACTTATATTAAGACTATCATGTAGATGGTAAAACGTTAACCAAAATTTGTCTAATCATCCCCACCACTAATGCGATGACGTCACTTCAAAATTGTACATAGTAAATGGGTTTTCAATTGTATAAAATAACATAGTCCTACACATGTAGTTTACAACTCTGAATCGACTTTTCACCCGAAACGTCCAGATTTTTGGAAAAAAAATCAAAATTATAAAACAACATTTTGAAATTTAATTTTTAATCTGCTAACCAGAATGCTTTGAAATGTTGCAGATGTTTTAAGGCTATAAAGAGCATCATAAAACTTTAGTCAAAAAATATTTGCTTATCCCCTCCAAAAACTTGATGACGTCAGCTCGAAAGTTTGCCGAATAAATCATATCTAAAATGTACAAAATATGATCAGTCTGTACTTGTGATCTATCACTCCATTCATATTTTTTGGATTTGCATATACAGAGTGACTCAAAAAAATTAATGAATGCGTAAATATATTTTATTGATTTAATCAGGAACTACAAAACGGAATGCTCTGACATCTTGCAGATGTTTTAAGGTTATAAAGAGCATAATAAATGTTTAGTCAAAATATATTTGCTTATCCCCTCCAAAAACTTGATGACGTCAGCTCGAAAATTTGCCGAATAAATCATATCTAAAATGTACAAAATATGATCAGTCTGTACTTGTGATCTATCACTCCATTCATATTTTTTGGATTTGCATATACAGGGTGATTCAAGAAAATAAATGAAAGCGTAAATTTATTTTACTGATTTACTCAGGAACTACAAAACCGAATGCTTCGAAATCTTGAAGATATTTTAAAATTATCATAAGCATGGTAAATTTTTGATCAAAACGTATTTGGTCGTCCCCCCTAAAAAATTTATGATGTCACCACAAAATTTTGCTGAAAAAATCCTATCTAAAATGTACAAAATATGGTGAGTCTCTTCTTGTGATTTATCATTCCATTCAAATTTTTTCGATTTGCATATACAGGGTGACTCAAAAAAATTAATGAAGGCGTGAATTTATTTTATCGATTTAATCAGGAATTACAAAACCGAATGCTTTGAAATCTTGGGAATATTTTAAAGTTATTATAAGCATGGTAAACTTTTGTTCAAAATGTATTTGTTCATCCCTCCTAAAAAAATTGATGACGTCACCCTTAAATTTTGCTGAATAAATCCTATCTAAAATGCAAAAAATATGATGAGTTTGTACTTGTGATTTATCATTCCATTCATATTTTTTAGATTTTCTTAAGAGGTGGTTCAAAAAAATTAATGAAGTCAATTTATTTTATTGATTAAATTAAAGGCAACACTTATTATTAGTATTACACCCCAACCAACCCCATTTGGTAGACACAAAATTTGTTAAAGGAAAAACTCGGTTGAAACATAAGGGTAGCACGCTTATTTACATCGACTTTAACATTACAGACCTGCATTTGTTTTATGCGTTCACTTGGTTCCGCGAATGTGAAATAGACATGTTTATAATCAACCAATTGTGAATTTCACCGTCAAGAATTAAAATAAAACCCAATGTTTTATATAATAAGCGGAAGTCGAAGCAATAAAACCGATGGTCATTTTGTTTACAGTTTCTCTGTTTGACTCTCACGTATGCTGTTACGCCTGTCATCTTAAATTAAGAATGTTTATACATACACGATTTTCAGTTGCCTCTGATACGTATACGTGAGTAAATTGTTTCGTTATTTTATTGATTATTACAAATCAATATTCAAAACGACCCAATTCATTTTCCCGAAAATTTGAGAATATAATAATTTTATTCTTAGTATTACACTACATCTATCCCAACTGATATACGTGTCCTTGCAAAAATGTTGATGACGTCATCGCAATTTTTTTTTAAATTCCCACTACAAAAATGTAATGAGAAAAAAAAACACAATAGGCATGCAGTCGTCAAGTTTCCGACAGCGAGGGAAGTACTGTCTAAACTCTTTAGACCAATTTTTGTTACTAGTATTATGCAACTTTTTGAAAGAAGAACAGTAATATCGATTTCTTTTTTTTAAACACCTACTGCAGGTCGTTTAGTACTTGATGATCAAAATATCATCCATTTCATTCTTTTACAGGAAACAACTGTCATTGTTATGAAGCGCAGATCATTGCGGATTTTCATAACTATCAAAACAGGAAATGCAATAAGCCAGCAGTGGGTTTTCACACCATAGTGAAAATGCTAAAATGACAACCTATCTAAGATTACCACATCCAGAATAATATACTGACCACATGTTCCGGAGAAATTCATTGACCTTGTTAGTTAACAATAATTAATAAAAATTGATATTACCACAAAGATACAATATGAAGGACAAAATAGAGAAGGAACTAATAATAGAAATGAAGCACGATCCAGTATCCCCAACAATACAAATCCGATCGCAAATAACATTATATTAAAATTTTCTGAAACCAATGTGTCTCTAGTGTATACATACACCTGTAAAATTCTCTAAAAGCCTACCCAATTTACTTGCCTACTGGTGCAGAAAAAAATCACTTTACTGCTAATTATTGTAAATGATTATAAAATCTACGAATTGACTACGTGGGATCATCGATTCGAACATCAGCAATGTTTGGATTTTCCTTAATCCTAATCATATTTAACACATTAATGTCGTTTTTTTAGATATTAAATTAAGCAAAAAGCAACAATTAAAAAAATTAGATGGATTATTGAAGACTTCCTGAAATTTGTTTGTGTTTAAAATGCGTGTTGGGCAAGTCACCATATTTTACAGCCTTTACCAATTAACTTAAAATAGAAGAGAACTTTATTATATCAGACACAAATCTGAATACTTCGAAATTTAAGTTTCATATGTAGTTACAGATGAAAAAAAACGAAGAACACAATACCTTCAATCACACAGGGAGTTCCAAGAATTTTTACATAACAATCTGTAAATTTTAGTCATCAATAAAATACAAGATGAGAAGAATCACCCCCTAACTGACACACTACACTGGTTAATAATTCAAGCGAATTTACCCCTATCACTTTGGGTCGAAACTGCGGCCAGCAAAAAGTAAATTATAAATCGTTGTTTGATGTCAGTTATTTTAGGCATTTGGATGGATCGATTACGTGCCGAAAATGTAAAAAAGTAGAAATAGCATTAGAAATCATTTTGTTCTCTGTAACAAATATGGTGTTATTATAGGTAAAAGAGAAAAATGGAAACAGATTTGGTTTACAACGTCTCGCAAATCAAAACAAATTAGTTCAAAATAAGTCAGTGAGATGGTAGAAAAAATAAGAAAAACAATTATGCATAGCTGAAAATCAAATTACTCGCCAATGCATTGAAAAGTGTCGAAGTATTAAACGAATTTGACAAGATTTTTTCAATTTATATGTCAGTTTTCATCACAATGGTCAAGGGGACGAGGTTCTAATGGTACAGTTATAGGTCGATGACAAGTTTATACCATAAATAAATTTTGAGATTATGCAAGCAATTTACCAAGTTCTTAGAAATGAAAGACCCAGGAGAATACATTATTTAAAAAAGAATTAAGTAGATCAAAGAGCTCCTTCGTTGTTTCAGGACGGAAGATTGCAAATTATTTATTACTACGTTCATGAAAAAGAAAATGAAATATGTATTGTATCAAAAATTCTTAAACGGAATCAGTAAAAGCTGATACATATATTTAATTCTACTATATGCCCAGACGTCATTCTTATTATTATTAGCGTTTTTAGTCAATCCAATGACTGAGCAGTCATTGTTGCGAAAAGTTTTACCTTTATTAAAAGGAACACATTTAACTACTTTGATGAAATCCAATAAAATGAGATCTATATGGGACTTTTATCGTTCTTTTAGTTGTAAGACTATTCCAAGTTTTCTCACTTATCAAGTTATCTGTATAACTTTTTTACAGACACATTCAGTTTTTCGTGATAATTTTTGTGGGGTGAATCGTTTTAGAGATAACCTAAATCTATAGATTTATATCCTTTGGAAAAATATTCTTACAGTAATAAAAAAACTGTGCATTACATTAAAGAATTTGATATCTAATCAGTGAACCAACAACCCAATAGTCTCCAAAAAATCACTATTTGTTGATTTTGTACATCACACTTGCCTTAAAACTCTCTGACGTTTTTTGCTCAAATTGTTTGAATCATTATTAAGAACCTTTATGAAAATTTCAACGTTAGATCAATTTTTTGACTTCAAACTCAAACATTTTTCTTCATTCGTTGTATGTGTTTTGTTCAGAATTAATGGGTCGATAAAATGTGGGAAACGTGCTATACATCATCTGTACGTAAAATTAAAACCCAATAAACATGGCGGTTTCTAGCATTCGTGAAATTAAATACTTTACAAACACATCATTAAAAAACTAACGCATTATCAGCGAATTGTAGTTCTAAGTGATAAAAGAAAAAGTTGTTAAGAATAATAATATAAGATGATAATAATAATATCTTAAGGTAGTTGGTCTGAACTTATTTAGACAGAAATTCCATAGCACCTAAAGTCAAACACTGAAACAAATTCAATATCTTTAAACCAAAGGAGTATGCTATTTTGTAAAATTGAAATAGTATTTGCTAAGCAAAATGTTCACGTGACGTTATTAGTATGTTGGTGGAGATGATCAGACAAATTTTAGTGAGCGTTTTACCATCTACACGATATTCCTAACATACATTTGAAATTGGACAACACTCGGTAGTTTCGGAGATTATCTGTCTAATAAAAATGTTAGACAGACAGACACGGAAATGGGAGACCTAAGTTCTCGTACTTTACGGGTCATGAAATGTCAAATTCGTCGGATGAATCCTATTACAACACTTCCTTAGATTACGCTCGGGAGGTTAAAACTCAATAATATTGGCGTAAAATATAAAATAAACTATTACTACTTACTTAATATGAGCAGAGGCGATGATTCTGTCGCCAGCCAACTGCCAGACGTGGAACTCATGGACTCCCACTACTCCATCCACTTTAGCCAGGAGCCTCCTCTGTATGGCATCAACTTGTATATGTGTAGGTACAGTTTGTAGCAAAATAAGCGCAGAGTCTCTCAATAACGGCCACACAGAATTCATTATCAACAATACCAGCAATATGCTCAAAGCTGGATCTATGTAATTTCTGTATTTCCACGAAGTTAGCCAAAACACCAACGCCGATATAATTACAATAACGGAGCCCAAAGCATCCGACAGCACATGAAGAAACACTCCACGCATATTCATTTGTCCGGCAGTACTGTACGAATGTCCGTGCGAAGACTTCTCTGGCGGAGGACTTGGGTAAGTTTCGTCGTTCTCGTTATCGTCCGTCATGGCGAGTTGTGTGAGACGATTTCTGCTGTGCGCTAGACGCCCGTGGGAGTGACCGTGACTGCTTCCATGTTCTGAAACGACAGACTCCGTCAGCACGAGGACTGTTAGAAAAGTGAAGTTACATACCATGGAACAGGAATAATCCTATGACGTTAACTAGTAGTCCCAATGCACCGACTATGACTAAAAGTTGGGGGTCGTGGATAGCCTCGCTCTCGATGAACCTTTTGCAAGCTTCCACTGTTATGGAAAAGCAAAGAGCTACGAGGAAGACAGCGTTGACGAGTGCTCCGAGGACTTCAGCTCTGGCCCAACCGAACGTGTTTTTCGACCATTTTTTCGGAGACATCTGGGTTTTATTTAGCATATTAACTTATATTTTCCTGTATACATACAAACTTCTACGTCTCTCACATTTCAAAAATTTAACTGTGGTATTATAACATTTATATAAATATTCGAGAGTTGCAAAATATACGACGTTTGATGTACTCTTAATTGAAGTCACCACTTACATTTATAGAATATGAAGGTGTTTTGAATTATAAAGGTACATGTTTTATTAACCTATTAATGGAAAAACGGAAATGAAATGAGAAGAACTTAACACAGATAGTTCGAGAATAGTAATTTATATATAGTTATAGGTATAGGTACAGTTGCTACCACTGTCAAAACTGTCAAAAAAATAGTGTGATTTGAAATTAATACGTCGAAATGTGGCGTCGATAGACTCAAATGCCGTCACGAATGTGGACGAATGAATATAATATCATATTCCAACAAGAAAGCGTCACCGAGAGATCGGGATGGCACATGACAGTGTGATGAATAGAGGATCACATTATTTTTGCAACTGGTAAGTCAGAAACACAATTATAATATAAGTAGAACGAGCAGTAAATGAGTTTTTTATTCATACTAATGCACTAATCCACGTGTTACATATGTAATTTTATTTACCATCACCTTTTTTAACAAATGCTTCTTTCATAAATACGAAAATGAAATCATTTTTACTAAAATTTAAAATTAAAAAATAATGTATTTAGAGTGTGACATTTGCTTGAACAAGGAGGTTTTCTACAAACGTATAGTCTTTGCCATTTCTATTGAAACACCACTTGTTAATCGTAAATTTGGCAACGTTCATATTCAGACAGTTTTCTAACTAAAAACCGTTGTCAATCAACCGAAAGCTGTTACCAATTGCTAAATTTTAAGCAAAATCAACAAGTGGTGTTTCAATAGAAATGGCAAAGACAATAGCGTCAGCCGCAGTCTAATCCCGCGAATAATTTGTTGAAAGCCGTGGAAACCCAAGTGTTTGTTTATAAATTGATTGAATAAATTTGTGCCGAATTTGTCTTCACTTCTTGCGGCGAACTAAATGAATTAGATTCTTACGGCTATTGAGAAACGTACAATTATTGTTTAGCAATCTTTAGTGGAAACATTAATGATGAAATAAAAATATGTAGAGATAAAAGTAGTCATTTGTACAAAATATAAACATTGTACAGTAGCGGTCATTTCTACGGAACCACTCGATAAAAAGTCAAGTTGGTAGCCCTGTCATCTAGTACTTTACGCCGAACGCGGTTGGTAGCGGTAGTTGACATGGCAATCGAAATTAGCACAACACGAATGTTTCGGTTGCCCTCAGCTATGCCGCACTGCATCCCGTGCAGACTGTATGTTCTGTTCATCTATTTATTAAAATAAAATATCTACATTGACAATGGGGCCATCTAACCTGTCAAATTTTTGACACATATGTTTTCCCCCAGAAACCCGTCAAGGTCACTTACACCAAACAAATTTTGAAAATTTACACTAGGGAGTGGTTCTATAGAAAAGATCGCGACTTTATAATATGTACTCGAAAATTTAACAATAAATTTGCGAGAGTCTGTAATTCTTTTTAGGTACTTTAACTATGTAAATTAATAAAAGTGTATTACTAAAAACCTACTCGAAAGTAATATTCAAAACTGCAAAAAAACGTATATAATTACACCTAAAAAATGCAATCTAGTCTATTAAAAATTCAACGAGTGTTACACCTTCATTATAAAGACTTTAGAAAGCGTTACGTAAACTGATAATTGCGTTATTAACATTAGACTGTCACAGAACACCTTAACATTGACTTTCGGGTAACATTATTAAAATTGCGTGTAAGAGAAAGTGCGATTTGACTTTCGTTACGTTACTAACCTCTTCATTTTCATCAAAAAGGCATTGTATTTTTGTAAAATGCTTCCTCCTATTTACACACTTGGTTTCACAACAAAATTTAGGAGCTCTATTATGAAGTTTTAATTTTTTCGTCAAATTATTTTTTTTAATTTTCAATTATCGTGCTAAACGAAACCATTTGAGGACCAAACTGTGCCACCATTACACACTTGAAAAATTATTTTCAAAAGGAATGCGTCCCAGATAATTAAATTTGAGAGCCGTTATGATGTTTATTTTTGCTATTTTAACAGTTTCAGAGGAACAATTTTTTGGATTTCGGGTCGATTTTCAATTAACATATTTAATATTTTTTCAAATGACGTCATTACCTTTTTCGAGAGGAATAAATTTAGGAGTTTTCTGTAATTATTATATTAACGTTAATGTCGTATCAAAATCTTAAGGACGTTTGCAAAAAACTTTATTTTTAGGATTTATAGTACGCATAAAAAACAGTTTTAAACCGTAGATCGTGGATATAACGTTTTCGATGACGTTATTGATTTTAAAAGCCGCTAAACTGATAAATTTTTGTTGACGTTGCATCGCCTTCATCATAATCTTGAAGTCGACTTAAAATTTCAAGCTGTTCAGTAGTTTTGGAGATTATTGGTCTAATCTATTTGCAGCAATATGACATACAATAATCAGAAATCAGAGAAAGGGGAAACCTACATTTTCGCATTCTACGAATTAAAAAATTACTTATTTAGCGCGGGGAGTCAAAGTTAATATTTTATGACTTCCAATTCAACACATAAAAGTAGGCAGTGCTTCTCAATAATAATATTAATAAATAAATAAAAATTATAATTGTCTACAACATTAAAATAAGGCAACTAACGTTAAATACGTAATGTGAATTGCAACTTTCTATACGATTGTTTTAAGAAATCCATACTCTTGCAAAAAATTAAAATAACTTGCCTCATTTGCCAAAAATTTGTTAACTGACTAGATAAATTTGTGTAAATTTTACCCAAAACCAATTGCAAGTATATTCACAAACTGCAACTATTAATTTTTCCCTTACATTCATAGTCTAATATTTTTATATTTTTAATGATCTGATACTAAAGACAATAAAGAAGTTGACATAAAATTTCTACAACACTTACAGAGTTTTACAATTTTAAAAATCTGAGAGATGGGAAGCTTTAATAAAATGCATACAAGGTATACATTTCCGGATGTTGTTCTTACCTTGACTGAAACGAAGGCTACCATTAGGGCAGCAACATCGCTTAACATGTGAAAACTGTCGGCCACTAAGGCCATCGAATTTGTTATGTAACCTACTACAATTTCGACGAAGAAGAACGCTGTCGTCAGCCACAGCATCGATAGAAGCCGACATTTTTTACCGGAAAATTTTCCCATTGCGTACTGAAACAAAAAAAAATAATAAATTTATAAAGAGGACTGATAGTTCTTATAACGATAGCAATAAGTGCGTGTTTAAAACACACTTATTATATAAACACATGGTCATAAGCAAAACTTTAGTAAAAAGCATTTTCTAGGTGTGTTGAAAAAATAAAAGGGTTTAATTGTTATAATAAAATGCAACACTGTTATCTACAGATATACTCACAATGCACCTACATAACCAACATAACAATGATCATTTAAAAACCGGATATAGTGCATGATTCTCTCAAAACTGGTTTGCGATAATGCCAACATTTGAGTTGCACAATGCAAAATGATAAGAAATGCTCCGGGAATTGTAATTCTATCATTTGCAGGAGGGCACGGTCATAAAAAACATGTACTCATGTAAACTATGAAACGAGATTGAATTTTTATGTAACGTTTCTTTGTCATATTCTTTAGTTTAGTTTACTTCTAGAAACACAAAATTCTGTGTTGGTAGAAATGTAAATTTTAAAGTTATTTTTGGCTGACGGCAATTCAAAAACAGTTTAATCACATTAATCTAATTTAAACGATCCCAGACAGAATTAAACAACAATAGACAACTGTCTCATCAACTGAATTATTTCGTATATAAAAATGTCAACACATTTTTACATTCAAAGTCTATTTATCTAATAGCTGTTAATGATGTTTGCATAAAGTGATAACACTTTTTTGCATGTCATAATTCCTCATAGTTTCAAAGAAACAATTAATTATAACAATTTTAGAAAAAAGGCTTTTATGTTGTTTGCTCGATTAAAATTTCAAACTGATGACCTCAATTACACAATTCTGATGTTCACAATGTATGTTTTTGAATATAATTCTGTCGTAAGAATGTATATACCTGAATCCATATGCAAAGTTTTAACAATGTTTAATACTACTATGGAAATACCCAAAAGATGCACACAGTTAAACGAAACTGAGTAAGTGTAACAAATAAAATATTGTGCTTTGGACATATCAAAATCTTATCTGTCTAAGATTGATTGGTCTGTGCAATAATATTTAGAAACTACATGGAAGGATTATCCACTACCAATTTTATTAGTTTAAAAATGGCGTAAAAACTAATACAATCGTATCTAATATTTCTATTCACGGCAACCATAAATTAAAGAGTTTACATGACTAATGGGCAAATACATTTTAACTGATAAACACAGGAATTAGAATGTTCTTTAAAACTATCCAAATATGAAATAATCTTGTTGTTTTCAAGTTTAGTTGGACATAAAATGTCATTATTACCACCTCAACTCCACTTCAGCAGTACACGTATCAAAAATATAAATTTCGTTTTTTAACTAAAACTTTTACATAAGCCGCTAATAACAGAAATTGGTCTTTTGATATGCTGACTACTAACAATTCAATTTTGTATCGTAAATTGAATGAAAATTTACGACTAGGTTTTAGGTTCCTACATAGAATTATATGAATTCACACCGTTCTAAGCAAGTTTACTTTAAGTGACTATTATCAAAAATATGTTAAAGAGCGGTAAATGGTAAATTTTTAGGCAAGAATCGAAGCTGTTTTCTGAAACCCTAAGTCATAGTCATAATTGATATTAAAATTATGAATATTTAATTTTTATTTCATAGATCAATTACGTTTTTCAGATGATATGTACATTTCCACACAGTATATTTATTTTGTACTGACACAAAGTATTTCTCGTTGTCTCAAAGCATTATTTAATTAATTACATAAATAATTTCGGAGGCTTCCACGGTCGGAATCAATAGATGATCGTTTTCCGGATTGGAACCGTGTAAATTGAGTTTTTGGGCTCAACGAAAGTGCGAAACGTTAAGCCCAAAAACTCAATTTACGCGGTTCAAATCCGGAAAACGATCATGTAATTATATAAATATTTGTTTAAAACATGAGTTATAAATAAATTCAAATTTGAGCTACATAAAAAAAAATATGGTTTACGAACAAACAAGTTGTAAAATTTAATTTTTTCACTTAAAGCCATTTTATCACAAGTTTTGCGTTGTCTGTGTCCTTCATTAGTTCATTACCATGTATATATGTATTAGTTCAAGTGCACATTATATAATCTGCAAATCAAAATAGTGATAATAATAATCAGATGCATTTAAAATGTCCTATACACTGGCTTGTACAATAAGAAAGTCGACAATGTTTTCTATAAAATTTAGGTGATGTAAAAATTTCATAAATTAAAAAAAAGATGATAGTAAACTGTTTAAAAAAAACTGCCTCCGCATTATAACAGCGAAATGTGTGGAGACGTTATATTTAAAATTTCTTAACAATAATTTTGTTAATAACGGCGATATTATATTTTGAAAATGTATTGACAATCCATAACCGGCAAACGTGAGGACTCCTCTTAAGTGCTGTATCATACAAATTTTCTATTGTAATTAGAGAAAACTTATGTTAATTTTATTCGTGTTGTCCACGTAGAAATACAAATAATATGGATTTACAATATATGAAAAAATCCACGCATTTGACAAGGAAAATTGAGAAACTTAGCGGATTAAAGGATTAGCTATTGTTCTAGGCATGAAAATCAATACATACATGTTATTCCTACTCACTTTAGATACACTATTTCTCATATGTACATAGATATCAATGATATTAAACTCCGAGTTCCTACATGAACTTTATCAATCATGCAGATAAAAAAATTAAAGTATTTTTTTTCATCCTTATATCACTGCTTGATAAATGTGTATCTCTGGTAGTGAAAGCGAAGACTATTAAACTCAAAAATTGTCTACCGAATACAAAAACAAACTTCTTCAGAATACAGTAAATATTTGAAGCAGCTGAAACTATTGCCCTTAAATTAAACTATTGAACTGTCGAATACTCACTGCTAAAAAGTTTTTTAACACAAAACTTAATATATTACTTAATCATTTTTGTGGCTAATTTGATTATTATCTTTATTAAAGTTTAAGATGACGTCATGTATCCGTATAAGCTGAAAGCACTCATTTCTGTACTTACCCCAGTGACTAAACTATGTAAATCAAAAAAGAAAAATACAGAATGATTCATCACGTGCATACGTCGTAAACAAAGACAATTTATAGATCTTTAGTAACATTGACCGAGTTCTTTTTCTCAGGTATTTACTAATTTGAACAAGGTAAATCATATTCCCATAAATTATACTTGGGACAACTAAAAATGTTTGACTAAAAAATTGACAAACATTAAAGTCCACGTAGTTTTTCTAGATACATAAAAACATTGCACAAGGCAGTGAGAAATACTAATTAATTATAGTTTTAAAATACCTACTCACTATTAAATTAAAAACAAACACTTGATTAAATTCGAGACATAATTCGCTAAATTCTCAGCAGATTTAAATGAATCCTGATGTGGATTTTCCAATACCTGTTAGCCTTCAATTTATTACTTGCTACCAGGTTTGATGCATCGCAATTCTTAGGAATGGGTAATACTAAAATGACCTCATAATTTCTGGAAAAAATATAAGTAGACAATACGCAATCACCAGAATTTTTATCATTTAGCAAGTTAAATAATGATTAGACAATGGTTTTAGATAAGCGGATTTTAAATCGTTACTGCTGGACTTGAAAGAGAAACAAAGGAGAAAGTTAACATTGCAAATTACATCGGCATGTAATGATGTTAGTTTTGTCTAATATAAAAACTTTCTTTGTGGAAACATTTAATGAAATTAACTGAGTTCCAGATAAATGGCTTATTATTCGTTATTGAAAAAAGTGTAAAATGTAATTTAAGAAATTTAGTGTTCAAAAGTGTGAACTGTGAAAAATTCTTCAAGTTTAAATGCATAAATATTTCGTGCCAAATAACCCATTTGTTACAAAAACAATACAAAGGATACTGCTTATTTTTGATTATGTTACAAATCTGAATTTATTTATGTTCATCTGAAATTCTGACATAGAAACCTGTTCCGGTGTCTTTTTTTTAACCTGAAGACTTTAAATTTTTTTGAAAATGTATTATTTACGCGTACATATCTGAATGCTACCCACATAAATTTTTTTAACTATTCTTATGCTCGAATCCTCAGAAATAAAAAATTACTTGAATTTATTTTTACTTCTGCCAAGCGAAAATTCTTCCAAAAATTCACCACTACCTAAAAATGCATCATGTAAAAGCAAGGCTGTTCTAAAAATAAGAAATATATATAAAAGTGTTGCAGGATGACTCTTAGTTTTATTTATCCAATCTTCCAAAATTTGGACAAGTATATAAATTATAACAAAATTATTGCACATTTCTGTTTAAAAAGTTTGCCTTTTAAGTCTATTTTCAAAACAATAGTGTGTTCGAATAATTAATATATCTTAATACAAATAAAGTTTTGCAAGTAATAAGCAATATTTTCGCCCCTCACATGAAGCCTTCAGTCCAAAAATAGCCCTAAGTTTTATATTTTTTTAATTTCCAACAAAGGGTTAAATAGGTTCTTTGTGTAGGTAACGTTGACAAAGGACAAAGTGCAAGTGAAATGGGTCAAAATTCGTTTACCTTTTCTTTGTTTAATGAATGTCTGTATTTTGTCTGAATCGATACAAAACTAGGTTATTGATAATATTTTTACGGAAATGTTTTGTTTATACTTCACAAATAAAAATCTGTAAAACCGTTCTAGAATTTACGTAACCCCAACCAACGAAAAGAATACAAATTAAAACTTACCTTTGTTTGTTTAAAACAGCTTCTTTAATTGAACCATGTTATTAAATTAAAAAGTGTCGTTAGTTTTCATATAATTTTGAAGAAGGGTCTGTTTTCTAGCACTTCGTTTTATGTAAAACACTCATTATCACAGCATAGTTTTGTTTAGTTTGGGCTTTTGATTAAAACTTAATAAAAATTTAATAAAGTGTATAATTAAAAGCACAACAGTGTTTAATGGAAACGCTGGACTTGTTAATTATTTAATACAAAAGCGTACGTCACAAAATTCGACAGACAAGACAGTTCATAACTGATTCCGACCAGTTGACGGAACAACCGACGAATGAAAGTAGATTTCACATAATACATGGAAAATATACCGAGGTTTATAGGTAGTTTTATTGGTTCACTTGCCAAACTAAGGAAAATAAACGGATAGCTAGACTACTTCCTTTTAAGCGAAATATCAGTTTGATAACTTTTACGCACACAGATAGTTATGAAAATAAATTCTCGAGTTGTTACCACGTTGACAACGATTGTTATTAATACACGAAACAATTTATTTTTTCCGACAATAGAACGCACCTTCAACACGTCATTTTAAACTACAGAAGTGAGGTTAAGTGCACAGACCACACACTTTAGACAAGAAAGTCTTATGGAGAGAGCGCAAACAAAATTTCAGTGGTTTGCGTCTCTACTAAATGTTACTCTGGCGTCCGATATGGGGCGCTGTTGCTAATTAAAATTGCACAGTGAGCAATACGCATGTCGATTTTGGTTGATGAATCATTTTAAACAAGCCAATTTGGAGAAAGTTCTACTGAACGGTATTTTGTCTTTTCGTCTTGCGATTTCGTTTTGTGATTTCCCAAAGAGGAACAGCTGCTGAAAAAATGGATTGAAAATGTCAACGCGCCTCTTTTTAGTTCCATGGAATCAAGCGAAATCTATAAAAAATATGTGTGTAATAGACATTTTTCTACCGATTTCAATGTTCCTGGAACAAGACGGGGACTTCGTAGAGATGCTTTTCCGAATATTTGTTTATCAGCAGGTATGTACAAACAATTACAATTGTATTACAAAGTGTCATCAGTAATAAGTAATGAGCGATAAAAAATATACACTGCCGAGCATAAAATTCGGGTCACCCGTAATTTTTTTCCGATATAACATACTCTATGAACTGATTGCTTTAAAAAATGTTGTTGTTTCGATAAGCGTTTGACAAAAAAGGAGTCCTCCAGCCAAATTCTTAAAAACCATTATCAGCATTGTTTTTTTTGGTGTTATCTGTCAATTGCAAATTCATCTGCAAAAAGTGAAAAATGTAAACATAAGCGAGTGGACAGTTCAGATTTAAATCCCATTCAACATGTTTGTGATGAGATAGGGAAACGTTTACGCAGACATGTGCCGGCCCCCAGAAATTCTAGAGAGCTTCGCAACATAGTGGTGCAGAAATGGAACAATCTTCCGCTGAATATAACCCAAAATCTTATCCAAAGCATGCCTCGTCGTTTGCAATTTCTTTTGTTTCATCGAAAAGCATATCAGCGTAAAATTGTTCATTTTCATTACTTTGCATATCAAAGTAAATTTGTTCATTCCCATTACTTTCAATAGACTTTGAACAACAACTTTTTGTATTGCAGTTGTCCTACAAGGGAAAGAGAAAGATGACGTCCATTTGACGTCAATGGTTGAAGAAGCAGCCTCAGTAACTAGTGATTTTATTCAATCACCAGTAATCCCAAGTGAGTAACCATGAATTACAATTTTATTGAATCTAGAAATACCTACTCATTATCTCATTATTTATAACATCATTTCATTGTTACAGATGTAGAAGATGAAACTTGTTTCATTCAGCAACAGCTAAGAAACCAGAAACTTAAACCCAAAAGTCGCAGATTTACGTTAAAAGAGAAATTATTGTCTCTAACACTTTTTAAGGCCAGTGCGAAAGCATACCGCTTATTATCCAAGATTTTTTGTTTGCCGTCACCTGGGACATTAATTAATTTATTAAATAAAATTCCACTCCGCCCTGGCTTGAATAAACGCCTAATGGACAGTTTCAAGCAGTCAGTGGCAAAATTAAAAGAAAACGATGAACAAGATGAAGGTGTCATTGATGGCGCAAGTGTTTAGTTTTAAAGTGGGATCCTTGATGAAACGTATTTCACAATGGGGTAAGTAATATTGTATTTACCAGAAAATCTTAATACTAATAATTTTTCTTTTCTTTTTTTTTTCTAGGTCTTCAGTATGACAACAGCTTACCTGCTGAAGCAGTGCAAACTGCAGATTTCATCTTGTTTATGGATATGTTATTTGACAGCCTCAATGGTAATGCAAAACAAGCGCCAGTAAGTAAACCATTTAAAGGAGGGGTTTCGACTGATTCTGGACATAAAAAGTGGTGGGAAGAATCTGTGAAAGTAATTAAAACAATGCGTTTTTGGAATAGTAAAAAGGGCATATATGTAAAAGTCCCATGGACCAAAAATTTAGTTAAAACAATTGAAGGTTTCTTGTATTTACGAACAAGATTGTTGACGCGAGTAAAGTACTTTTTGCCACGTGCTTTGAATCAAGAACACAGATTTGTGATCTTGAAATGTTATATTATGTTGATATAGTTCAAAAGAAAAATATATTTGTAATCAAAGTATCGACGCGGCGGCACTGGATCGAGCGTCTGAAACATCATTCCGCCCGTTGATAATAAGACAAATTTGATATTATCGTTATCTCTTTTTTATTATCAACTTTTATACAATTTATTTCACAATAAATTAGACTGTATTGATTTAATATATAGTTCTGTTTTATACTGATTCTAGCCGTACAAACATCTCAGTTTGCTTTTCAGTTTCGGCTATATCAAATTTATTCAACAAAATTGCACATTTATATGATATTAATTTAGATTCTAGTTGTAGTATTTGTAATTGCATTGTAAATTTGGTTTAATATTTAATTAGTTATAAATACTTTTGTTTTTTAAATATTTATACTTTTTAGTTGCTGTCATGAATCAGTTTAGTTAGTCTGATATTATTCCTGTAATTGGGTGTTACCTGTAGGAATAAATATTATTGTCTGTGTGATTTAATTAGATTAAGTTTTAATTAAATCGTTTCAATAAATATTATTTTTTTAACAGAAAAGTTTCATTTCAATCTTCAGTAAAAAATGTTCATTATGGTTCAAGCTATTGTCACCCTAACAATATTTCGGTGACAATAGCTTGAATCGTAATGAACATTTTCTACTTCACTTTCACATGCTTTTATTAATAGCGATTCCTTTAAAATTCGCGCAATTTTTGATTTAGTTGTCCCCACCTCCACTGGCGGCGCGCTATTTCTATTACCATTAGAGACCCTAAATAAGAGAGTCTGGCCAAAGCGTCGCTTGGTTTTCATTGGTGCGGCCATCTTATATCACATTCTGTTTGAAAACGTATTGAAAACGGTATGTCTGGTTGCAGATACGCTTAAAACTGTCAGCTGTGACTACGGTGACATTTATTGCGTTGTTGTGATTTTATATTGTATACGAAACAACTGCCACCGTGTAAATTACACCGTGACAGCAAAATACTGTGGCAAAAGTATGGCAATGCATCATGGTGTAAACTAGAATAAATTTATGTTGATTGACTTGTTTGTCTTATTTCCGCTTAAGAAGATTTTTTTATATTGCTTCATAACATGTACGAATTTTTAAGCCATCTAGTAGTTTATAGTTATTTATAAATTGACAGTTCTTCGCGAAGTCTAAGAAGTCTGAAAAACTTATTTTGTGTTATCAAAATTATAAGGGGAAAATTAACCCGTATCTAACCTTTTTAGACGCTACTGAAGGAAAAATAGGTAAGATTAATTTATTTTAGTTAATCCTAGCAACTGTAACAATAAAACTTTTGTCAAGACTAAATGTTGCTATAGAAACGAAAGATGATCTTTTTATCAGAAGCGTACAACAAATTTGGACATAAATTTTAATCATTTTTAACTCTAAAAGGAGAACACTTTTACCTCAACTTTTTTTACTTTTAGCACCCATACTTCGAGACCAATTATCGATTTTATTTTGTACGTACCTTTCAATAACACGCTGTATATTATTGTATTTACATATTTCGTTCGTTGATGACCACCTTTGTTTTTGATAATTAAATACATTTTTGGTAATTCAATAATTTTTTCCTTCAATTTATTTAATGTTTTGTTACCGAATTTCTGCTACTTTTTTGGTTATTACACACGTGACGCCAAATTTTAAAAAAGGCGCGCTTGATTGTGATATAAAATGGCGGCTTTGGCCAGACTCTCTTATTTAGGGTCTCTAATTACCATTGGTAGTACAGTAGATTCCCATCTAAAGTGTGTGGTCTGTGGTTAAGTGCACTTACCTTTCAAAAAAGAGAACATCACCCAATGACAGCAAATTAAAGGGGTCTGCTTTAAAATTAGTCTTTTAAACGTCAACAAATGCACCTGTAACTGTTCAAGAAATCTGTGGTCGTTATTCCGTTACTTGTGACATTCTATGCTTGTGACCTCTATCGTCAATACTGAACACCAATTTTGAACATTTCTGTATTACTACCTACTCTTAGCTAGCTTGTTTTCTATTTTCGACTTTCGACATTGATTAACCTCGTCTCCTATACATGCTTAACCTTAAATTACCAAACAGTTGTTTTTTTAAAAGAAAATTTGATTTTACCTGTACTCTTTTCCAATGAAGACATAACGAAATATGATTAGAAAGCTCCTAGGTTCCGTGGGTTACATCATTCAGTATGCTTGCATAGCACACTGTACTTTTGAATATGTAGGCGTTTTAGTGTTGGTAATTTTTCCAAAGTTTTTCGAAAAAACAGTGTAATGTAATTTACTTTTAGTGCTCTGGACCTTCAATGGAGCCTACAATACACTCAGATGATGTTTTGTTATCCGAACATATCAGTACTAGGTTAAATAATGTAAAGAGAGGTAGCATTGTAATAGCCAAGTGTCCTATGAACCCCAAGCAAAATATATGTAAAAGAGTTGTTGGGCTTCCTGGTGATAGAATTAGAGTTGGTTTTAATAGTTATGAGATTGTTCCAAGAGGACATGTTTGGTTAGAAGGTGATAACACTACCAATTCAACAGATTCTAGAACATACGGACCTGTGCCACAAGGACTAATTCGAAGTAGAGCATTGTTGAAAGTGTGGCCTCTAAATGACGTAAAAATTTTATTCAATTAAAATCTTAGAACTGAAACAAAACAGAGTGCTTATTTACTGCACTGTTTTGGTGTTAATACAGTCAGTACTTTATTATTGTACATAGCAACACTTATAATAAATATTCAATACCACAGTAATATTGATAATTGTGACTCCTGTTTTTTTTTGCTCAAATTCGATATATGTATTTGGAGGTAGTACATACAGCGTGTTATTGAAAGGTACGTACAAAATGAAATCGGCAATTTGTCTCGAAGTATGGGTGCTAAAAGTAAAACAAAGTTCAGGTAAAAGTATTCTCCTTTTAGAGATAAAAATTATTAAAATTTATTTCCAAATTCGTTGTACGCCTCTGATAAAAAGATCATCTTTCGTTTCTATAGCAACATTTAGTCTTGACAAAAGTTTTATTGTTACAGTTGCTAGGATTTACTAAAATAAATTAATTTTACCTATTTATCCTTCAGTAGCGTCTAAAAAGGTTGGATAAGGGTTAATTTCCCCTTATAATTTTGATAACACAAAATAAGTTTTTCAGACTTCTTAGACTTCGCGAATAACTGTCAATTGTTTTGTACGTACCTTTCAATAACACCCTGTATACCACAGTGCTTAATTAGTTTACTGGTCATCTATAGAATCTGTTCCAAGATGTAAACTTATGTTTCGTTCCCAAAACTGTAATTTCCATTATAAGCGAATTCATTTTTAAATTTCACTTGTGAATCTGTTATATCCACGTTATGATAAACCAAACATTCCGACAAAATTGCGAGGTCCACAAAATTTTAAAACCCGCAAAAAATTTAAAGTTTGACCTTGAACTGTTACGTGAATAAAATGGAACCTTACGGTTTTTGGAGGAAAAATGCCCGTAAAGCAAAAAGCAAAATATGGGGAGCAAATTGTTTATTCGTTCATTCTGAAGAAGGAAAAACTGTTGAAATAAACTAGAAGGAACTTATTTCCCAGCTGCAAAAATCCTCTCCAGTCCAGTTTAAAAAAAAATCAAGTCAAATGATATAAGTTAATACAAAATATTTGAACACTACAAATTTAAACACTGTGGTGACCGAATTTAAATCAATATTTTCGCGCTGAAATTAATTAACAGTGGCGCGAAATCACATTTGAATAATTTGAATTTGAAAAAAAAAATCAATCACAAAAAAGGAATCGTTAAACATAGACAACCAAATATGCACGGTAACGCTTGCAAGGTAGTCGGACAATTTAGCGCTAGGGGTTTTTAGTTTGAGGGTTGGTGGTTAGACGAAAGCTGCATGGCGTAGAGTCAGTCTGAATGTGTCTTTGTGAGTGTAAACACGTGGTAAGAACTAGTTTAAATTAGTTGGTTTGGTAGTTAATAAAATGGGAAGAAGCCTTTGTTTAACGACAATCAATCGTAACTGACGTCACTCTGTTGTCCCCAACCCGCGCGGTCTTTTAATCGAAAATTGCGGACTTCCAGTCAACGCGAAACACGTGCTGTAAATTTTTTCTATTGTTTGTAAATTCACCAATCAAGTTAGGTTTTCTTAATCGTCAGCTAGTGCTAAAACAATTTAACAATCAGGATTATTTAAATAATCCACGTGCTAGAAGATTTCATGAAATTCACTTAGTCAGGAAAACACCTTGTTGTTTAATTACGAATAGGTTTCTGGATACATATACGTAAGTGTTACATTATAACACTTCTAAATTCTTCACACAAGATTGCTAATATTTCATTTACGGCAGTTAAACAAGTTCATTATACTGCGAACTGGCGGGAGGGGTTTAAAATGATTTCTTCCCTTTGGCGGTTATCATCGTTACCATGATCACATTACTGGGGATTGTCCTCGCAACGCCATAGATTGATTTCTTTATCGGGGGTTGTCCTCGCAACGCCACAGATTGATTACTTCATCGAGGCTTGTCCTCGCAACGCCACACATTGATTACCTCATCGAGGTTCGTCCTCGCAACGCTAGAGATTAATAACATCAATGAGGCTTATTTCTTACACCGCTAAAATATACATCATCGAGGCAATTCCTCGCAACGATTTAAAATTTACATCACCGAGACGCTTTTTCCCTCGGAGCGATGATTGTATATTTTTGTGTTTGTTTATTATGTGTTTTGTTGGGGTAACCAGTTCGCGGTATTTTAAACTGTCAAAGTAAATTGTTTTTTTGAAGTAACCAATCACTTAGATCATGATATAATTTGACATAATGTAGACTCTTTGTTTGAACCGTTGATAAAGTGTGGCAATTATTAATATCATGTAAATTTTGTTAACTTTGCAAATTCTCACCTCATACAATATTTCTTTAATCTCACAATTTTAACCTCAGCAATTTTTCTTTGTTGTATAATTTTAATTGAACGTAAATTTCATGCTCTACAGTTTTAACCTAACATAACATTTCTATCTGTACAAGTTCATTTCACACCAGATCTTTTGTTTCATAAATCCTTGCTAATTAGTTTGTTTTGTAAATACTTTGTTGATGAATGTTTCTATCATATAAATTATTTGATGTCCAATTTTAATCTCACATGCGAATTATTTGTTGTTCAAAATTTCACAAGATTGTATGGCGAATTTAAATGTTGTTTATTGCTCGTTGAAACTTTGACACTTGTTCAGTTGTTGTTAATATCAGAGTTATTATAAGAGATTGAACATTTAAAAATGGAATCGAGGTTAAATAACACAGAAAACGTGCGAAGTGCGGTTCCTAGTCGGGCTGGCGAGATTTATCGTGTCACCTGTACAAGCCCACAGGTTTGGATAGATTCAGGGGCGGCCGCCGATGTTGTAGTGCTCTCGACTTGGACCAATAGTCGAGATCTAACTACGGGTCTGGTGACAGTAATGGCCTAGTTTCGCACAGCATGATCGTAATGGAGGTGCGTGCGGGTAGGCTTTGCGATAGATAGAATCACCGTCGTGGAGGGAGAACAGCCCCAGACCGGTAGCCCCAAACTCCGCTTGTGCTACAACGCCCCAGGGGTACTTTTGTTGTGCTCCTGTTAACTGCCGTAACTTTAAAATCTGCCGCCACATGCCCGTAATAACTTGTGTATTTGCATCCAGTTACTTAATTCAGATTTTGCTTTGTTTTTATTAAATTTGTGATATTCAAATATTTGCATTGATTCCAAACAGATGTATCGAATGAATTTTGTGTTTGTTCGTTTGTAATAATATGTGTATGTCTGTCAATTCGCGAGTGTCTTTTCTTTCATATTTTTAAGGTGTTTGAAATGTAATATATCTGTGAATATAGTCGTAGGGGGTTTTTGGAGATGGCGACCGATGGCGATTGGTCCCTGTTGGACGGTCAGAAGGGCACGGCCGAGTCACTCTCGCTCTTCGCTTCTTTTCCCCCTAGGGAAAAATTTTTGTCTATTATTTCTCTCGCTCTCGACTCACACGCAGTGTATGCACTTGTATGAAAGAAGACGTTCCCGCCACTTTTCATAAAAAAAAAAACACAACGTATCCTGATGCAGACGACGAACATATGGATCTCGTTGAAGAAAACGTCGAAGATCTTCGAGAGGAAGAACCCGATGACGACCAACTCATCATCGAAAACAATTGCGACAAAGGTCGAGGAAAGCCCTAGATCAGATCCACAACAAAGCACTGAAAAAACTCTTCGGCGAAGCCACCATCACATTGGCAGGTATTATCAATGCTATGTTCAAGTTTCGTTTTTTTCCAAGTAAATGGAAATAGCCCAACGTCATCTTCATTACGAAACCCGGCAAAAGTCAATCTTTTCTTCAAAATCATCACCCCATCTATCGTCACTGGAGAAGGTCGCTGAAAGAGTTATATGGAAACTGCTTGCCGAAATTGTGAACGAACGAAGCATCCTTTTCGACGAACAGTGCGGCTTTCGAGGCCACCATTCCAGCTCCGACCAACTTCTTCGGGTCGTAGCTGAATGGAGTCAATTCACAGGCGCAGTGTTTCTAGATGTAGCCAAACCTTTCGACGGTGTCCGGCATGAGGAACTTGTAGGCTTTGCGATAGATAGAATCACCGTCGTGGAGGGAGAACAGCCCCAGACCGGTAGCCCCAAACTCCGCTTGTGCTACAACGCCCCAGGGGTACCATCTTGCAGGAGTGTATCACCGCCAACGGTACGCCTGCAACGAACCATTTCTGGACACCTGCATGTTTGAAGCCAGCATAGGCTACACTCTATCAGCAGAATATCCAATAAGTACCGGAATCTCTCAGAGATTAGCGCTTTCTCCCCTGCTGTATGCGATCTTTACTGCAGATATTCCCAAACCCCCTCGAACTAGACTCGCGATCTACGCAGACGACAGCCCCATCCTTATACGCTCCATTTCGGCGCACAATGTGACCACCTACTTACAGGAGGCCATTGCTGCGTTGGAAGAGTAGTGTAGACGCTGGTTCATCACAGTCAATCCCAATAAAACTCTGCGCTCTTCATCAAGAAAAGTCATCAAGACCCAGTAGGGCACGTTTCGATGTTCGGCCAGAACAAAATATCTAGGTGTCTTCATTGATAAAAAACTGAATTTTATTCCTCAGATTGACTACATTGTAGTCAAGATGAACCAAGACCTCTTGGCGCCACTAATCGGCAGACGCAGCAAGATGCCGATCAAGAATAAACTTCTTCTCTATTCGCCCATCATATTTAATGCCTGAGTAGCCTGGAGGTAGGAACCTTCCAAAACTCAATTTCATCATCTGGAAGTCCCTCAGACAACAATTCTCAGCACCCCCTGATTCATCTCAGAAACAAATAGATTTTTCAGGAGGCCAACATTCCGAAGTTAAAGCAATTTCTGCACGAAACTACGCTCCGCACCTTCAAGAAAGCTGAAGAACACCTCAACCCTTTGGTGCCAGAAGCCGTTGACTACGAGTTCGATGAAGAAACCACTCGAAGTCACAAGCGGCCCCGCAAGGACTGCGTGACGATAGAATGGGCGTGTGATCCCACCTGCCCCCATCACCGACGGCAACCATCCATGATCTCCCCTATTACCGATCACACCGTCTTTAAGAGGCAGCTCTTATAGACGGGGGGAAACCTCCTAGGTGAATCAATAGGTTTAGCACAGCACCACTGTGACCACTCAGAAGTCAGGACCGGGGTGAAAGGGACAAAGCAGAAGATGGAGGAGTTTTGGTGGGTAAGCTAGAAAAAAATAACAGTCCTACAGTACCTTGTGCATAAGAACCAAGCACGAGGTCCGCGCAAGGCATTTCCCTTTCGACAAAAAAAAAACACCGAAGTCACTTCTGGACTTGCTCTCTTGGATCCTCCTTGATTGTCGGACTTGACCCTCACCGAAGTTACTTTCTGTTTTAGATTCTCTCGCACTGGTTGCCGGTCTTGAACCTCCATCTGAGTACAAACTTCTGCACTGGTTGCCGATTCCAAGTTCCCAGAAATTTGCAGTTTACGTCATCGCCGCGAGTGTGAATAGGAGTATTTTATATATACCATTCATACTTATTACATTTATATTACTCCAATTAATTATGCCACACTATCAAGAATTTACATGAGGTTAAATTATGCCACACGCTATCAAGAATTTCAAACAACAAAGAATTTACGTGAGGTTAAATTATGCCACACTATCAACAATTGCAAACAACAAAGAATTTACATGATGTTAAATTATTCATTAATTCAAGTTAACGATTAAATCAAAACCCCTCATTATACAAAACAAAGCACATGTGAAAATAAACATTAGATATATACAGCTTGTCGAACGGTGATACACAAATAACAATATCAAAAAAAAAATAATAATAATAAGCACTGTAGGAACAACCGTTCCCACAAATCACGTGATCGACCTAAACTCATTCATAATAATTTATGTAAATCTGTACAAATGTAAATACGTCCTATCTTTCGTCTACCTGCCCTATGCTCCAGTACTTCCGGTTTCGAGAATTTTCTAAACTCTTTCTTTACCTACGTCCATCTCTCCAAAACCGATCCTAGCTGTTGACAATTCAAAACAACCTTAAAAACTTCTTCCTCGAAGCTCTCAAAACGTAAGCATCTAATAAAAATCTGTCGCTATTTCTAAAAATTACCAACGATACCCACAGCACAAATTAAACCCCACATGTTCCTGTTCACGAAGTTACTAATTTGACTGTCGAAAATTTTCAAGGTTCTTTCTCTTAAAATAAATCAACTTTTAAGAATAGTATAAATGTCATAATTGAATTATTATTAAAACACGGGTGAGAAGTTATAAGTGTGTTATAATAACTTATTATGTACAACATCCAGATCTGTAATTACATATAGTATATTGTTCAGTGTAGACTGGACTCAAACATTTAAGGCGTTTATGCCTTCACACCAGTTTGACTGCCATTATAATTCAATAGGCCGTCACAGCCGGATGTCTTAAACCCGCTCACCGATGCCTACCTGAAAAGACCGTTTCTGGTAAAAGCACAGGGCAAGACTGTACTGGTCTTCTCCTTTTATGGAATGTCGTACACAATTGGCCCACGTTTCGGCAGTTATTTTGAAAGCTTCGTCCCTAATTATGTCAATTGTTGCACTACTAAATTGTGGTAATCTTAATAATATTTTCAAATCTGCAGAATAATGATTAAATAATTAATGTATGGAAGAAATGTTAAAAACAAAATTACTCTTAGTCCGATCCTTCGCGTCTCGGCCGTCCCTGGCACATGGCATGGTTTACATTTACTAAGTTTTATGAAAGGTCGGCTGTAAAGTACTTTAAATGTCAAAGCCATAAACGCTTTAAATGTTTGAGTCCAGTCTACCAAAATATAAACGCAAACGCCGTCAATTACTTTATGAGGGGTCTTTAGTACTTTGGACCGCAACCTGCAATAAAACCATTACGAACCCTTCGCAACGGAGGTACGACTTCAGCCAGAGGCGAACTTCAAATTTTGGAGCGTTCATATATAAATCACCGTAGAGTTCATTTTTATTGGGATTTTTCTAGGAAATATGTATTTGCAAAGATTTAAAAAGTTTTAAGAACCACACTTTCATGTGTCCTTAAATTTTAAGATTAAATTTCTTGAAAGCGGTCCGTTTAACAATATACCTGTTCACGTATTGAAACAAATACGGTCCTGAAAAGGTAAGGGTGGCGAGTAATCTTGTTGACAGTTTTATGCTGGGTGCAATTCCCATAATTGGAGTCATTTGCAAATATATTTTGTCGTACAATATCTTTTGGTACACTGTATATATAGTAAACCAGAAGCTATAAGGTTATATGACTATCATAAAATCATCCCATTGTGTCGAAGTTAAGTTGTTTACAATAGAAACGGTTTTCGGGTCGTAAATAACGTGTCCACTGCAGCTCGACCGGCTGTTGTGGTTTCGTTCAGGGGCGGTTTTCACTAAATATGTAAATCCACCACTACACTATTTCTTTACTACCTGCAGCCGCTGAGGGTTCCGAAATAACCACTCGCTTTGAAAGCCGGCCCTGTTAAATGTGAGCAAGAAATGTTTAGAAGAGGATTTATTGCCAACCGGTAAGCTTAGTGCGAACCACACAAAGGGGGTATTTATTTGCGGTCAACTAGTTTTATGATGGTCATATAACCTTATACCTTTTGGACTAGTATACTTACATGTATCATTCATGTATATTCCGCCATATGTTTTTATGTGAACATGTTCTATTATTTTTGTTTGTTGTAAACTTGTATTATTTAGAAACACGAACAGTTAAAAGTCTTAACATGAACTGTGAATGTACAAACAATAACAAAAACTATTCGTGTTCATAAATAGTCAAAACTTTACACATTTCAGATTAGAAACTCATGTCATTACCTAATTAACTGGTCTTACATTAACTACGCTCTTTGAGGGAAGGTGCTGGCGTCGAATGCGATTCATTTTTATTTTAATTGCCCTTTTATGAAATTACACCCAAAACTGTATCTACACACCAATTTTAATACGCGTTTACACTCACGACAAAACAACAAGAAAGTAGCTTTGTCATTTTAATTTGGGAATCTTTTTAATACTGTTGTTGACGTTGTTTATCTGTTAAATTGGTCGCCATCTTTTAAAATTCCTGCAAAGAGCCCATTTTCTTGTCAAATACGTACAAGCATAACAAAAGTTTTATTCTTAAGACGGAACCACACTAATAGGTACATACTTGCCAAGTACCGAGCCACTGTTTAACGAACTCCAGATAGTGTGGTTGGGTTGTTCTCTACTTGCCGAATACCGAATGTTTGGGGTTCGCCCTATGCACAACTTGTCGGTATTTTTTTTTAAGTGGACGAATATTCGGCATTCGCTACTTGACGAGTACCTGCTTCTGTGGCTCCACCTTTATAGTAGAAAGCAGGAATTCGTGAAGATTGGAAAATAGCGAAAATTTACGACACTTGCTTGCTTTTTGACGTCTTTGACCATTAAATATTGTAATAACAGTAACCTTCGTTCCTTTTAGGCCAACAACTGGAGAGAAGACTTGGACGATACATTATCTTTGTTACAATACTAAGCAATTTATTGAGGGGGACTTCCAGTAAATAATGTTACGAAATAAACTCATACACCACCCGGCGATGATGGGTGACTCATCATCGGTGACGGCGAGCGGGCGGTGTTTGCATAAAGAAAATCCTGGAGTGGGTCGCTGGAAGTCTCAATTGCGGGGTCCAAAAAAACCTCGAAGCGGCGTTCACGAACCATTCAGAGGAACGCATGGGTTTAAATAGAGACCACCTTCCGGAACAGATTATTCAGTCAATTCAGTGGAGAGAGAATCCAGTCAAGTTGCGCCGGAGTTATTTTGTACATAATCGCTGTGCACTTAGTTGTGTAAATTTGAGTTACTGAGAAATAGGTTGTTTTATCCACGCCGATTTTAATTACTGATCATCGTAAGAATAGGTACTTTTAAAAACAGAGACTCAATGTTCACTCATTCCTGTTCTCTATTGTACTATAGATAATACATCAAGTGACCCCACCAAAGGCATTAGTTGAAGTCTAACCTCAGTGTTAACAGTTTTATTTGGTCATTTAAATGAAATACATACCAGTTACATCGGGATACATTTTTCCAAAAGACTTGTTTAAACATTTTTGAAGACAGCGTTGTTTAATCTCCACAACAATTTTAAAGTATACGACTGACAAATAAAAATCGGAAAATTACGCTTTGAAATTCTATGAATTCTGCTGCATGGGAAGTAATTATAAATATGAAAGTTCAATATGTAGTACAAATATTAGATATTGGAATAAATGTTCAGGGATTTTTAAAAGGAAAGGTTAATTCACAACCATTTTATGAAATTGACCTCGTACAACATATTTTTTTTATAATCTATGAATAATGTATTTAAGTGCGTATTAGTGTTCTAGATCAGGCTTTTTCATGACGCGATGAGTGCAATCGGGACGTCAATAGAATAAATATCAATATTGATGCTTATTTCACTTCGCAGTTTACAATTCGATGAAAAACTGTGTACATCTTCTAAGTAAAATTATATAAAACGAATGAAATTTAGGTAAGTATATTCTGTGTACCAGTAATTTAACTTAAAATATCGTTAACTTTTAATGTATTTTTCTATAATGCTTTCACAAAAATATGTATTATGAAATACTTTACAGGTAACGTTATGTGATATAGACGTAACTGTCGAAATTTAGCTATCTGATTTTTTGGAAATAGTACGTAAAGTATGCAAATAGTTCTTTTAACTAGAAGATGTATAATAATACATTTTTTTATAAACACATGATTTTATGAAATAATTCTTTGGTTACTCAAAAATATCAAAAAGCAGGGTTATCATGGTAGATAGGGTCAAGCAGAGTATTTATTGCAACGAATGTCGATAAGATGTGCATTATATAAATTATAAATTGCATCTAATTTTCATTAGGTTCACAGTTTCAGTTAAGTTTTTGTGCGCAACTACTGTTTAATGTTAGTGTTAAATTCTGTGTCCAAAAGAGTTTTTTTTTTCTCTGCTTTACCGTTCCAGCGGTAGCTAAGGGAAATATGACAATTTTGATTGCACTATAAATATTATGAAGACCATATCAAAATTAAAAATAACTTTCTGATGATTTCCATTGAAACAAAAATATTCTGTTAAGAAAAGCGTTAAAGGGATGCCAACACGACTATACATATAATTTAGCGGGTACCTTGGAAAAGACAATATATTGGACTGACTTTACTTGACCGACTTTACCAAGTAGACTGACAATTACACAACATAAATTTATAGAAATATAATTAAAATCGTCATGTCGAGGTTTGTCAATTTTGCCAGATGTATTTTTTCATTTTACCCTAGCTTTCAGTAAAGTTTTTTTTTTTCATTTTGTACATTTTTTCCATTATCTAATGGCCAGAGTGTTGTAAAAATTAAATGTTCTATTTCATCAGTTGTTCAAAAAGAGTTTGTTATATTTTATTTTTATATGATTATTATCAATAGCCATATGAGTGACAAAAAAACTTTACTGGTCAAGTGCACGTGCATAATGTTATCCGTAAAAAAATGATTTGTGTGCCAATTTCAGAAAAAAGTATGGAAATAAAAATTAAACTAGCGTCCTTTAATGTTCACAGAATTCTAATTTTCCTTTTTAGCCATCAAATATGCAGGGTACAACAACGCTGTTTGTTTTTACTCTACTAACTTTGAGCTGTCAATCGGCGAATATACTTGGAGTTTTTCCCCTACACGTAAAGAGCCACTTTCTGATGTTCGAAAGTCTTTTGAAACGTCTTGCTGAAAAAGGTCATAATGTGGATGTTGTCACTCATTTTCCATCAAAAAACACACCTCCTGGGTATTAGAGTTTATTTTCTTTAAGATGTATTAAAATATATGTTTGTAGGTATAATCAGATGAGTTTGAAAGGCAGTCTTCCATCACTCACCAACAACCTGTCCCTGAACATGGTTGATGCGGCGACCCAGTCTCACTACAATATAATGCGTTTTATGACGATATTTGGAGGAGTAGATGTCTGTGAAAAACTTTTAAAAACCCAAATTCTAAAAGATCTGAAGCGCTTTCCCAAAAATTACGATTTAGTAATTACGGAACTTTTCGGAAGTGACTGTATGTTAGGATTTGGCAATTTGTTCAATGCGCCAACCATTTCTGTCACTAGTAGTATAAGTTTGCCGTGGGCTAATGATAGGATTGGCAATCCTGACAACCCTTCTTATATTCCTACTTATTATGCTGCCTCAATGGCGAAAATGAATCTATATGAGCGAGTTGAAAACACGTTGCTGTTGATAACGTCCAAATTTTTGTAAGACGTTTGCTTTATGTGTACGTTTTAAGGCAAATGTATTTTTAAGGTATCGTTTCTTGTCTGAATGGATGTCAGATAAGATAAGTCAAGAATTTTTTGGTGCAAACTTACCGCATCTGGAAGAACTAACACGCAATACGAGTCTTCTACTAGTAAATAGTCATTTTAGTATTAGTTATGCTAGACCCACTGTCCCTAATTTTATAGAAGTTGGAGGACTTCATATTCACGAACCTAAATCTTTATCAAACGTAAACGTTTATTCTTAGATTGTTTTAGTAAATTATGTAAGAAGATTATTGTAGCACTTTAAAACTATTGTCACGACTAGATCCAAGGGAATAATCTATTTGACGATGGGCTCAATGGTCCAGACTGAAACCTTCGACAGCGACAAACTCCAAGGGATGTTTGATGCTTTTGCTGAATTACCGTACCAAGTACTGTGGAAAGCGAATCGTGATGGATTTCCTAACGGATTACGAATTCCTAAAAATATACACTTCGAAGAATGGATGCCACAAATTGATATTCTTTGTAATTCCACAGGTGTAATAAATCATCATAAAGTGCTGATTAATTTTAGGTCATCCAAATACCAAACTGTTTGTGTCTCATGGCGGTATGTTAGGATTTCAAGAAGCTGTTTATTGTGGCGTGCCACAATTAAGTATTCCGCTTTTTGCGGACCAAATTCGTAACGTTCACACTTCTGAAATAATGGGAATAGCCATAAAAGTGTCTTACAAAGACATCAATAAAAGAACTGTACTGGACGCAGCGAAGAAATTACTCAACGATCCGATGTAAGATTCATTAAACACTGACAGTGCTATCAATGGCGTTTTTTAGATACAAGGAAAATACTGACAGAGTTTCACGTCAATTTAAAGATCGCCCAATGTCGCCCTTAGATACAGCCACTTATTGGATAGAATATGTTATACGCCACAATGGAGCACCGCAGTTACGAAGTGCTGGAGCTGATTTGCCTTGGTACCAGTACTATTTGATTGATGTTGCTTTGGTTCTTATATGTTTTTGCATTATTGTTGTACATTTAGTAGCTTTAACTGTAAAATTTGTGATTAGTTTTGTATGTGGCACACGTAAGTCTAAAATTGATTAATTGTACGTTAGATCCAAACCCAATTGGGTATATGCAATGTCATTACCACAATAATTTCGAGTATTTAAAACAGACAATATTTGAAGAATGTGTTTAGAAGTGCAATAAATTTGATTTAAAAAAATAAAAAACCAGTTTATCATACAATTTCAGGAAATCCATTTTTTTTTGAAAAGCACATCGATCTGAAAAACAAAAACTTAAACTGATTCAAAATATTCTTTCTTAGTCAGCACTCGTTGGATTTAGATCTAGCAAGTATCGTGTCTCATGCATTGCATGCCACGTCAACTCTTCTTATTACATTCTGCGCATTGGACCACAGGAACGCGGACCGTACTGACTCATGTTGTGCGGCGTGAAACTTTTCATACATGACGACCAATAAAAAATGAATTTCAACGATAATTTTGCATACTAAATTATCAGATTTGACTTTTACTGGAAAATGATAAATAATAAGATCAATTTCATATTTTTGTTTACAAAGTGTAGGTTTCATTTAATTTACAATTATTACATCATATACAAACAATTAAGAAAACTTTTGCTTTCTAACTCTCTGTCTTGTACACACGAAGATGACGACGCTCGCATTTTTTCTATTACACATCGGACCTTTGGCGACACTATTCCAAGGTCTTGATTACACTTTCCTCATATTCTGTCAACATATCGATGAATGTACAACTTTTTTTCTGGAAATAGTCTCGAGCAAATCAAATTGTCTCCTAATTTTTTATTGATATCAAGTTCGTATACCGAATTTAAGCAAAATATCTCAACACCTTCTAGGTGTTACATCTTTTCTGTCACTAATTAGTATACACAAACAAATAAATCAACAGCGGTTTTCTATTATAGAATCACAAATTAAAAAAAAAACACCTGCAATAGTTTTAAATTTTAAACAAATAATTTCATCAAATCAATATACGATTTTTAACAAGTTTTGTGTTGTGTAGTGAACGTGAAGAAATCATCTATGTTTTATCATAACATTGACAAATATGGCCAATTTTAGTAAATTTTGAACATTTTCTAATAATATTGAATATATTTGTACCAAATATTTTTCTTTCAAACTTTTTTCAATTATAATAATACACTTATCTGTTAGACAATTATTATTAAAAAAGAAGCCAATAGTTTTTTGCATTACAAGGCCGGAAACTAAACTGTTGCGAATATAAGCGAGTTTGCCAGGCCGAGCGTTAGCAAAAGCAGTTTTTGACAGAGTGGTGCACACTATTTTTTGGGCCGCGTAAGTCTATTATTTATTAAAAATTAAATAATTTCATATTTCTTGACATAACAGAGTGACTAGGAATCGAGAGTGACAGTCAGCGCGGACTTTTCTTTGCATAGCGACCAATGAAATTGTTAGGTGCAATTTTTTACGGCCTAGGCCGTAAACAGCTTGTTTCCGGACGATTTAGACTACTAGGAAATTCACAGTTGAGATGAACATGTCTAACAAACGTGTTGATTGCAGCTGTATGTAGGTATTTAGAGAACAGTGGCCCAAAAAAAAGATGTTATCGATACAGCGTTTGTTGCTCCTCTCATTTAAAAATCCGTTAACATGACATTTTTTTCCGAAACTTGATGCAGGAAAAAAGGAGATAAATATGTTGCTGGTATTTTTTTTTGATAAGTCACAAGAAGAAAACTTTGCGGGGTGGTGGACACGCTAGGTACTTAAGAATTATGAATTTTCGTCAAAGATATCAGAAAGTTTATTCAAACATCGCTTCTTAGACGAATTTAAAAAAAAAATGTAATGTTTGTTACTGCGAAGAACTTACAAAGTTGAGGTTTAAGGTTTGTGAAGATTCTGTCCTTAAAACACTAACTTAACCAGGTGGAGCAATAGTGTTGTAGTAAGTTCATATTCTCAAACTCATTGCTACATTTTCGTTCTGAAATAACATATGTTGGCTGTTTAACGGACCGTATAAATTCATTAATATGATACTCTTAAAATATTACACACTTAGCACCACAATAATTGATAATAGTCGTTTACACAGACTGAATTAAAAAAAACATTTCATGAAAATAATCTCACACAATATTTCACACAATTAATGCAAAGGTCATTTGTTTGACTTGTATATTAACATTACCGCAAATTAAAAAAGCAGTTGTTATTGATGCTTACGATTGAAATCTCAGGTGCCAATAAGATTGTTGTGTCTGCAAAATTGGTGTCATATTCGAGTTATATACATATTGTTAATCCATACACAAATTTCATTTTTTTTTTAAATATTGATAAATTTTGTTTCATAAAACTAAAATAGTTTTTAGAATAGTATTCTATTTTCACAAAGTTTACAAAGTGGCCAAACAGGTTTTGGAAAACAGAAGACTTAATTATGTTACTTGTAATGACATTAAATAATTTATAAAGACAAGGTATTCTTGTTTACAGATTGTTTGGAAATAAAAGTACGCCTATTATATTTTTTAAATCCATGAATAACCACAATTCAGATATTATCGAAAATACATCGTTCGCTTAATATTTCTTCAGTTGTAGATTTCTTTTATGAGTTAAGTTTAATTGGTAATAAAATTATTTATTACATTGTTTCAACACAGCCCAGATAAAGTCGTAACATTCTTTTGATGTGTTGTTATTTTTGCAAATATCATATTTGTTTATTAGTATAAATACTACTAAAAAAATACTAAAATGCTATTTTATGTTGTTGTGCTTTATTTACCACAGAAAAATCTACCAGTTTAATAAGAATATCCGTGTTGTCGTAGGTCTGACAGAAAAATGATATGGCATTAAATACGCAATCCGTAATAGACTCTGTGCTCTCATTTCATGATGTATCTGTATCGTAAATAATAATTATCTGTTTCATAGAATCTTTTGCTGAAAAGGTAAGCAAGTCCTTCATCGTTTGTATATTGAGAATAAAAACTCTGTAATCATAATTTAAGCAATAACAGTACTGTACTAATTATCTTTTAATTGAAACATTTTTTTCTAAACTTTTGTCATACAAGCTAGGATTCTTGATATTACTACTTAAACACTGATGAGTTATTATATAATTATACGGTTCAGATACTACAATTGTGGATAAGCTGTGTAGGTATTTTTTAAAACGTTAATGCAGAAACAATGTGCTATATCATCTGCACGGAATTTTAAAATTACGATTAATAATAAGACACTCAAGCAGTTGAAAACACGCGAATTAAACGTAAGCTAATAACACTATTACACAATACACGAAGAAGTCATATTTGGTCGAGACCTGGACGACGAAGTTTGAGAGGTGGTTATTCTCCATTTTAGTGTTATACGTTGATAAAAATATCCCAGTATGCGGTATTTAGTGATCACTTTAACTTTGATTGGCACAATCTCAGTTTCTGAGTCAGCAAATATTCTTGGAATATTTCCTTTACCTGGAAAGAGTCATTATGTGATGTTTGAACGTGTTTTGAAACGTTTAGCAGAGGTAGGACACCACGTGGACGTCGCCACACATTTTATATCAAAAGAAGTGCCACCGAGGTAGAAAATTATTAATTTGAAATTATATTATATCTAATATATTTATTGCAGATATAATCAGTTAAGTTTAATAGGAAGCCTCCCTATATTCGTAAGTAATCTTTCTATTAATGTTTTTGATGGTTTCTCCCATTACGATATGGTTTGGTTTATGACAACAATATGTGGAGTTAATGTGTGTGCAGAAACTTTAAAGACTCCAGTACTTCAAGATTTGAAGAAAACAACCAAAAAGTATGATTTAGTAATTACCGAGATTTTTGGATCCGACTGTATGTTAGGATTTGGACACTTGTTTAATGTGCCCACTGTATCTATGATTAGTAGTATATCGTTACCGTGGGCAGGTGACAGAATAGGAAATCCCGACAATCCCTCCTACATTCCAAGTTATTTTGTGTCTTCTACTTCCAAAATGAGTCTGTATGAAAGGATAGAAAATGTGTTTTATTTGACAGTCTCCAAATTTCTGTAAGGATAACCAGTTTACATATGTGTACTTATGTAATTTATAAATCAACTTTACAGATATTACTTCTTTAACTCTAAAGCATCAAATCAGATAAGTAAAGAATTTTTTGGACCTGATTTACCCAGTTTAGAAGATCTAGCACTCAACACAAGTTTGATATTAGTTAATAGTCATTTCAGTATTTCACATTCCAGACCTACAGTGCCTAATTTTGTTGAAGTTGGAGGACTTCACATACATAAACCGAAACCATTATCAAAGGTGAGATTTTAATATAAGTAAATTTGATCACAACTGAATAATTTTTAACTTGTAGTACTTCAAAGATCTACTTACTACGGACAGTAAGGGTATAATTTACTTGACTATGGGATCTATGATCCTCACTGAGACTTTTGACTATGACAAACTTCAAGGACTTTTTGATGCTTTTGCCGAGTTGCCATACAAAGTTTTGTGGAAAGCTGTTAGAGAAAAGTTTCCCAAAGGATTAAAAATTCCAGACAACATTCATTTCGAAAATTGGATGCCGCAAATGGATATTTTATGTAACTTGTGCACATAATTTACTTCAATGTCAGTATGTCAATTGTGTAAAAATTTAAGGTCACCCGAACGTAAAATTATTTGTTTCTCACGGTGGTTTAATGGGTAGCCAAGAGGCTCTTTATTGTGGGGTTCCTCGACTGGGTATCCCTCTATTTGCTGATCAAACAAACAATATTCGTTCTGCAGAGCGAATGGGATTAGCTGTCAAAGTTGCTTACAAAGATATTAACAAAGATACTATACTTGCTGCAGCTTTAAAATTGCTAGAAGATCCAATGTTAGTGGTACTAACTGCATAAAAACGAAACTGAATTTTTATTTTTTAGGTACAAGAAAAATTGCGAGCGTGCGTCTAAGCAGTTTAAAGATCGGCCAATGTCGGCATTGGACACAGCAGTTTATTGGATTGAATATGTCATACGCCATAATGGAGCACCGCACTTACGTAGTGCTGGAGCTGATTTGCCATGGTATCAGTATTATTTGATTGATGTAGCTATTATGATTATGTGTATTGTTATATTTATTGCATTTATTGCATGTGTTCTTCTGAAATTAATCCTTCACATTTTGTATAATAATAGTAAAACCAAGACTGATTAATTTTCAATATTTTGTTGCTGTCGTTATTATCTACAAATTTTTATGCAGAAAGCACATTGGTGACCTACATACCTCACATTTTAATTATTCCGTTTATATACGAATTAGATTAGGTTAAGAATTTTATGTTTATAGTGGTTATTTTAGTTTATTCCCTGTGTATACGAATTAGATCACGTTAAGAATTAAACGTTCATAGTTGTTAATTTTAGTTTTATTTTTGTAACGACATTCTATAAAAAAATGGTCGAAGACAGGATCCCCTCGGTCCTGAAGTACAGTAGCACCAATGCAACTTTTTCGAAAAATTATAAGATTTGATTTTGCGAATTTTATTTTTTCATGATAACCTTTTTCAAGTCAAAATAAATATGTAACTTTAAACCGTTTGCAAGTTTCGGAGCCTTCAGTTTTGCAGTTTCAAAGTTAAATTGTACAATATTATACAATTTTGATTTTTTTATAAAATCTGGATGTCTAGGGTGAAAACTCAGCACCGATTCATACTTCACAATTGAACGAGTATTTTATTTTATAAAATTAAAAAAATATATTGAAATTTTGGAGTTGATCCCATTGGTGGTGGGGATAATTAGCCACATTTGGGTTAGCGTTTTACTATCTAGATGATATTCCTAATAACATGCATACAAAATTTGACAACAATTGGTGCAGTAGTTTCGAAGAATACGTGTTTAATAAAAATCGACCCAGACGCCAGACAAACAGGCGCAAGCGGGAGATCACTTTTTTCGTATCTAGGAGTTATAAAACGACGAGAAAACATGAAACTGGCAAGTCACTCGATGGACTCGATTATTATACTTCCTTAGCTTACATTCAGGAGATAAAAATGTATAAAGTTTAAAACAAGTAGAGTAATAAAATAAAGTATGACAGTTATAAAGTACAAATACGAATATAACAAGAACCTTTTAATTGACATATTAACTGAGGCTTGTCTGTCACCCTTCACGGTGATTCTACTCTCACACGCAGGCAAAGCACACTGCACTTTTCTATCAATAAAAAACCTGGAACATGACGATACTCTCTACTCACTCTTCCCAAAAAGCCCGGTTATCAACAAGCTACGCGATTCACGCGGACCTGAGTTTCTTCTGACGTTTACATTCAACATCTTTGGGCAATGCCAAAACCGCAGACTTTAACTAGAAACCGTGTGTTCCGCCGATCTAGTCAAGAATTTCAACCTACAAAAAATTTACATGAAGTTAAGTTATGCCACTCTTTATCAATAATTCAAACCAAGAATTTACGTGAGGTTAAACTGTGGAATAATTCAAATTCCAAATCTAATTCAGCTAAGTATTTTATGTCATGAACTGTTTTCCATTACACAAAACCACATGAGAAATAAACATAAAATGCGGTCGAAAATCCCAAAATCAGTCGTTTTTCGTGCGAATCCTTCGTTGCCAGATTATACCTAATAACCACTAGGCGGAAAAATATCTTACGGATGCAATTCCCCAGTTGAAGCAAGGTGTGTTTTACGGCGAGTAGCGGGGACGCTTTGATCTGGTCCACAAGGTCATAGCCAGTGCGTCGCTAGGAGTGTTTACAGCTTGTTAAAAAACTACTTCTATATTACTATATTACTTCAAATAAAAATACTCGATACCCTTTTTAATTTTTCAAACACAGGACCACAGATTTGTGATCTTGAAATGTTATATTATGCTGATAGAGTCCAAAAGAAAAATACATTTGTCATCAAACTATCGCCGCGACAGCACTGGATCTAGCGTATGAAACACAATTCCGCGCGTTGCTAATAACAAATTCCCCATCCCACAGTTCACGATATTATTAATTTTACTGATGCGGCTTCCACGTGTTTTTCGCTCAAACTTTCGAATGCCCAAATTACGTTTAGATTTTCTTTGCGTATCAATGAGGACGTTACGTTATGCAAATAATAATATTTCGAAAATAGCCATCAAAAACTATCGATATAAAGAAGCTAAAGTAAATAAGTATGTCCTAATGAAACCGCAATCCCTAAAGGCTCTACTATCACGGATTGAAATTGAAACGAAAATAGCAGTTACGACGTCACCGGAAGTGCCGTCATCTTGTAAAAGTTCAAATACAGCGTTGATTTTGACTAAAATTCGAAGCGTAAAGCGCAAATGGCTTAACAATAAAGCGTAACAGCCATCATATATCGATTTATTACATTCGTGGTCCGACAGAAACAGACTTCAGTTATCTTTAAACAAATGCAAGGTAGTGTCTTATTCCAATAAAAATAATGTACTTCTCACTCAATACAGCATTAAAGATACTACTATAGAGCGGGTTGATACAGTTAAAGATCTGGGAGTTATTTTTGACATAAAACTTTCCTTCACTGAGCATTATAAATACATTGTAGCAAAAGCGTCTAAAATCACAGGATTTTTAATCCGTAATTCGAGTGTTTTTGATATAGAATGTACTAAATTACTATATTTTAGCTACGTTAGGTCCATCGTCGAATACTGCTCAGTTGTTTGGTCTCCCACTGATCAATGTCACATACAATCTCTTGAAAAGGTACAGAGAAGATTTATGAAATACCTATCTTACAAATGTGACGGTGCCTATCCACCACGGCGTTACCCAGAAGAACAACTGCTCCGTAGATTTAAAATGCAAGCTCTCGCAGTTAGAAGAAAAACCTCAGCTATTTCTGTACTATATAAGGTTATACATTGTCTAGTTGATACGCCTGATTTGCTTGCCGATGTGAGAATTCATGTACCGTCTAAAAATTTCAGAAGGTTCCAAACTTTTTATCTACCCAAATGCAGGACAAACTACATGAAGAAGACGCCGATATTTTTTATGTGCTGCTCTTATAACTCGCTAGAAGTCACCAACGACATCTTTCATGATAGTCACAAAGTCATCATCAACAAATTGCGACAATTAATTTAAATTCATGTTTTTTTCTCTGTTAATATTTTTGTTATTTTATGTTTATATATATTATTTTTAATATTATTCTGTAACTGGGCATGGTCCCGTTGAATAATAAATTACTATTACTATTATTACTATCACCGAAGCATTCCAAAAGACAGTCTTGATGGCTTCAGAGGCGAGCCAACTTCTTTTTTCTACTCAGGTAGCTTTCTGATCTACCGTACTGACAACCTAACCGCTGCCAACCTACAGCAATCACATTTATTCTTAATTTAATAATTCCCGCGTCCCTCAAAACCTCTATGTGTGGTTGTCTGCCTAAATTTTGGGAGGCTTTTCTTATTAATTTATTATTTAAATTTAAAAATGGTAAATGCGATTTCGCGGTGTTGTTCTTAATTTCTTTGCGCAAATTTAAATTCGAATCGGGACACTGCAGTGTGATCTTTTGGACACTAGAAGGCACTTTAAAATAAAATAAAACATATGCATCTGCAAAAGATGTGATGTGTTCATTGAAGTGTCGTTTTTTACATAAAGTAGTTGTACATACATATAGCCACAATTTGCATTATTGTGAAACGCAAAAAAATATGAAATTAAACGTTCACCAAATTACCCTCATTATTATACCTCCCTTTGTTATTGCTAGAGACACAAAATGATCTTCAGCGATTTTATAATTCAGGTATATGATTTTTAACAGAAACATAATTAGCCTATAAAATTATTATATAAAAAAAATGGTCGAAGATTATTTCAACAGAATTTCGCTCGCCTCTGAAGTACAAATTATAGAATTTGATTTTGCGAATTTTACTTTTTTTAAGTTAAGATATGTATGTAATATTAAAGAAAATCTAAAGAAGTGTGCTACGCGTATGCTTCAAATGAGTTTTTCCTTTACAAAATTTTGTGATGACGTTATCAACATTTTTGCAAGGGCACGTATATCAGTTTGGATAGGTGTAGTGTAATACTAATGTAAAACAATTCATTATCTTTTTTTGAGCCACCCTACATAAGATTCATCTAAAAAATATGAATTCAATGATAAATCACAAGTGCAGGCTCATCATATTTTCCACATTTATTCGGCAAAATTTTGAGATGAAGTCAGCAATTTTAGATAGACAAACATTTTCATTAAAAATTTACCATTCTTACGATAAATTTAAAACGTCTGCAAGATTTTAGATTCAAAATCAAATTGCAAAATGTTGTTATACAATTTTAATTTTTTTTGCAAAAATCTGGATGTCTAGGGTAAAAACTCAACAGGAGTTCATAAACTACACGTGTAGGACTACGTTATTTAATACAACTTAAAACCCATTTACTATGTACAATTTTAAGGTGACGTCATCACATATATAAAATTTGACGATCAATGGGTACACTAGGTTCGGAGAGTATCTATCTAACAAAAACTGACACAGTTGGCGGACAGACAGATAGACAGAAACAGCAGACCTATATTTTTGTACTCTAGAGGTCGCCCGATCGGCTTACTTACTTAGCTCAGGAAAAAAGTAAAATAATGCACTAATTTTCTTTTGTCAAATCTGTGGCAGTATTTAATATACACATTGCAATAATTATTTTCGAAAAATCTAATTTTTACAGCTTTCAAAATATCAGATTTACACATAAATGTTGAAATTACTGCTTTTGTCATTTCAAGCCATGTGACTTTAGTTTCTTAATTTGTTGACAGAAATATAGGTATACTTTTCAATAGTAAACGAGACTTTGTTTTGTATTTACATTTCGCTAATTATAATGTTTGCACTGAACATCATCGCCTAACACCTAGTCAAATCAAACAATCTATTAGAAAGCTGCATGCGCAAAAAAAAGAATTATTGCCGCAAATGGAGAGTTGTCTACCCTATGACGAAATTACAGAATTTTTTCAAATGCAAAAATTAAGGAAAATTGTTCTGATGCATGTATTGAAATTAGATTTATTCTTACAAACCGTTAGACACTCAATGAGACATAAAGAAAAAAATGTATTATAAGTTATAACCTTGTTCCAGTCTCTCATTGAACATGTATCTATTTTATCATAGTTCGATTAAAAAAACTTGATTTAACATGTTTCGGTAAAAACGAACTGATTATTTTTCTCGTTGTTAAAAGCTTTTATTTTTATTGAAATTTTTTGATTTATCATTTTCACATTTTGATAAAATCTGGTTTTTATTGTTATACTATCACATAAATTCAGTTTAAACCCCCACACTTTTTATGTTCAGTATAAAACATAGATTAAAGGCCACACGACCGGTTATTTAGCGAGTGTATGGAATTTTTAACCGCAAAAATTGAGATAAAACTCATTTAGAATAGCTGATTATTAAAATTTAGCACTTATTTAGTTACAATTTTTGTTTATTATTCTGCATATAAGTAGGTCCCGGTAATTCTAGCGATAGATAAATAATTCATACTAGACAATAGTACATATAATTTATAAGTTACTGAAGTACTGAACCTTGAAAGTTGAAGAGAAGGCAGATTTATTTGGAATGATACATAACTCAGCAATTTGTTTACGATTTTTATGAGTAATGGTTAGTGATTATTTCGAATTTTGTTTTGGACCGGTTTGGCACTTTAAAACATTTTTCATTTTATGACTGAAACCAGTTTGCACAGGTGGAGGTACGACAAGAAAAAAATACGCGACTTTGAATATAAAGAAGCAAGTGAAAGCAAATCTTCATATTCTTGGTTACTAGCAAATGTTGTTTGAAACTAAGTATTTTGTATTTTGTAATATTTTTTATTTACATATATGTATTACTTCTAAAAGTTTTATAATTAATTTTGCTCTTTTTATTTGTTCAGTTACTTCTAAAATAAGCTTAAAGATTGGTTTTACTTGGAAACTTTAGTTAGTTCTTGATATTACAGACTTTTGAGTAGGTTATTTTTTTAATATTTCGCACTGGACCTATAATATTGTAACTATTTCAAAAGATAAAGAAACGATACCCTTAAAAAGTAAATTGTTAACACTTGGAAAGAAGGCTACGTCTTACGCAGCTCTCGACAACAGATGTCTTTCTGATAGCGATATCACTAGGAGGATAAAAACCATTCATTCCTAGGTAGAAGACACATGTAGAATAAAAAAGAACAGCACTTTTTCAAGCAACTTCATTAGTATCGTTGCTGTAATTTCGATTTTCTTATAAGGAAAGCATTAGGGAAAGCACTTTGTCACCATATAAGGTGCAACAAAACGTTACAAGTTTTATAGAATTTAAAAATGTAATCAGTCCTAAAATTGTGTAATAACATCACGCTTTCTAAATTTTTCTGATTTCTGGGAAATGTTTTCAACATTAACTTCACTGGTAAACTAACACTGTTTTTGTAGTTTCTTAATCAGCTTGGAAATGGACGATGTCATTTTAAAATGTTTTATCTTGTTATTTAACTTATTTTAAAATAAAAACATAACACTAAAAAATTTCTTGTTTCGTTAACAATTAAAGAAAACTAGGCTCAAAGTATATTTCTTGCAAAAATGTAACGGGTTAAATATGAGTTTATTTTCGTGTGCTTGTTACGAATAAATCCGCCATCAGCTAAGTAGGAGATAACCATAGAGAATAATAAAGTACGTATATTAAATTATTATACTGTCTGGGTTTAATCTAGCTAACAAGCAAACATGTTTTGGGTTAGCTTAAAGCCATTTTCAAATCAATGATGTCAAGTGCACGTTCTATATCGTGGTCTACTGCAAATCAAAAGGTTTCGATCGAAGATCGAACGATATTGTATGTTTGCTTTAGTTTATGGCCTTTGGTATTTTTGTTGCTTGTATAATTTTGGTTTGTCGTATTACAACCCTAAACATTTGCTAGCTACGGTTAAGCAGAACTAATGTTCTGTCATCAGTACAACTCAAACGTCGACACGATAAGATCCATTAGGTATATTTTTAATACTTAATTTTAATAGACATATCCCAATGTACTTCTAGTTCCGAAGAAGTCCCAGTATAAATAACGAAACATTGCCAAAACGTGAAGGTTTTTTTGTTGCGTGGATTCAGTAATTCAAACGACAAGCAGATAATAAAGAACGAGTTTTTTTAAATTTTATTAATAATTAGGAGTAATTAATTTGATTAATTAATTCGTGTAAAATTCGTACAAAATTTTATAGAATTTAAAGGTTACCTAAAATCTCCCTGAAAGACTCAGATATTTTATTAGATTTTCGTAGCCGACAAAAACCTAAAAATCCTGTGAAGATTTTTTCTGGTATCACAACTACAAAATCTGTCTAACATTTCATTTGTGTACAATAAAATTTTACAATATCATTACGAGGAGTTGGGTAAACCCACCGGCTTGGCACGCGTCGACTTTATTCAACCAGAAAAAGGGTAACTAAGATGAGCTAAGAACCTAAACATGCCAAGTTATAAATTGCAATTTATGGTGGGTATGAACCGCTGTAAAGTTAACTGGCGCAAACCACCATAAAATTTTATTGTATAGTGCTGCAAATGCTGGTTCGTTTTTATGACTGCATCTTATTGTGAAGGAGTTAAGTGTTCCACAATAGGCCTCTGCCGCAAGTAATCCAGCGGTCATAAACCATCACGGGACCAACTGTCTGCACTACACAGGGCCGCGCCCATAAACCTTTAAGATGATTTATGGCACGGCTATTTACATTTTCAATAGAGTTCATAATACTTGCGGTAATTGAGATTGGAGTGGCATAAAAACGAAGTCAGAATTGGACCACTATACACAAATGCTGCACGCTTACAAGTTTCTGAAGTACTAATATTCTTGAAAAATAAGGCAAAAATGCTACATGATCATAACTTCATAAGCTTTAATAGAACAATTTGCTAGTTGTATGTCGTCCTTTTCAAAATTTTATGATATGTACTTTCAATAAACGAAAAGACACTGGCCATTTATTGTATTATTTCTACTGTAATAGTTATCACAATATTATGTCAAACCACTGTTGCTTTTTTAACTTTGGTCATTTTGTTCAAAACTCTAATGATTTTCTTAATTAAAGTAGTTACAAATTTTTCGCATATCTACGCAGTCAAAAAATATCAAAAAAAAACAAAATGATTTTTTTTATAAGATCGAAAACATGAGGAAAAATTAGTTGAAGTTTCGATGGAACTTCCCTCGCTCCTGACGTACAATGAAACATATCCAGCATTTTCGAAAAATTATAAAATTTGATTTTTCCAATTTTAACTTTTTTTAAGAGAACCTCTGTAAGTCAAAATAAAGATGTTTATGTAATGTTAAAATAAAATTTTGTGATGAGATCATCATAATCATCAACATTTTTGCAAGGGCACTCATATCAATTTGGATTGGTGTAGTGTAACATTAATAATAAAATAACAGTATTCTAAGTATTCCCAAATTTTCGAGAACATTGAGTGAACGGTTCCTGATTTAATTAATAAAATTAATAGAATAAATTGGCACACTCATTAATTTTTTTAGCCACATATAACTATAAGCAAATCTAAAAAATATCAATGCAGTGATAAATCATAAGTAAACTCATCATATTTTGCACATTTTAGGTAGAATGTTTTATTAGGCAAAATTTTGAGATAACGTCATCAATTTTTTGGAGGAATAAACAGATATTGGTTATATTTAGATTAAAAATGTACGATGCTTATAATAACTTTAAAACATCTGCAAGATTTCAAAGCATTCGGTTTTAGAGATTCAAAAGTAAATTGCAAAATGTTGTTACACAGTTTTGAATTTTTCCAAAAATTTGGGGGTTTCCGGTAAAAACTCGACACGGATTCATAAATTACACGTGAAGGACTATGTTATTTCATACAATCTAAAACCCATTTGCTATGTACAATTTTGAGATGACGTCATCACATTGTTGGTGGGAAATGAGAATGATTACCATCTAGGTAATATTCATAATACACACACAAAATTTGACAGCAATCGGTCTGGTAATTTCAGAGATTAACTGTCTAAAAAACATAGACGGTAGAGAGACAGACGGAAACTGGGACCCATTTTTTCGAACTCTAGCAGTCATGACCCATCGAGAAAATTTGAAAAGCAGCCAGCCGCCCGATGGATTCGATTACAATACTTCCTTAGCTTACGTTCGGGAAGTAAAAAGAATAATATTGATTCATATTTTCAGTAATGTTATGATTATTAATGACGAAGTTTTTAAAGTAGTCAACGATTATTACTATTATACAATTACACATTCATAAACAAATACATACAATGGGGAGTCAAAAAGAGTTGAAATAATTTCTTGAATATGTCGAAATTTGTTAAAAACCTAACCTTGGATATTTAAATGCAGGTAGTTAAGTAGGTGAAGATAAATTTGTTATGTTATCAATTATCATACAATGTTCAAATTTTTTGCAATTTTTTTCTATCAAAATTTAATTGAAACTAGAAACATTTATTTCACTAAAATTTAACCTTCGTTTCATTATTAATTAATTAATTAACAGAAACGAGCTCATTTTCTAAATCTAACAAAATTCATGTTTGCACTTTCCGCATAAACCAGTTAAGTGCAACTTATATTTTCATTTTAAAACAACGCTATCTCTATGGATCGAGAATCAACGTTATTTAAATAACAGTAAAATTAAAATTTATTTATTTGCACTATTCTACATTATAAATTCAAATAATCGTCAGTTTTCATATACCCTCTACCGCACACAATGACACAACCCAGTAAAAAAACACAATTAGTTAGTTAATTTAAACAAATTACCATATTTTATAAAAATAAATTTCTTGATATTATCTGCAAACGAAGATTTTTGAATAAAACTCGCACATATCTAAATTTTGTAAAACCGGTATATCTCCTTGACCTAATGGTTATGGCAAAGAAAGTAGTATAGCCAATGAATGACCAGCAGGAAGGCACAAGAAGAGGAAAGTGCAGTCGTCAACAACGTTGCGGTCAGTTAGTGTATTGTGCAGCAGGAAAAATGGCAAAGTTCCTGCGAAATACGTGTAACATATTTGTGTTAATTAGTGTACTGTGCTTAGCTACAGACTTTGGTAAGTTTATAGCTGATAACCACGGTTTACGAAAAGCGCATAAAAAATATCATTGCCTCAATGAACAAGGAAGAATTAAAATCCGCAACGAATTACCGTTGCACACGAGTAAATGGATGTGAAAGTGAATAATTATTGTAGAATTTTACACACAATTTGTCAGTTTTGTATGTTACGCTAGAGCTGTTAGATCACCCTAACTATGCCTCTATCACTTCCACAGTCAATGTGTCTAGATAAACAACAAATAGGTATGCAGAGTTTGTTCTTCAGCTAATAAATTCACAGTTATTTCGAAATTCAGTTATGCTCATCATTTAACAAACAAATGAAGAAGGTTTACACGAAATTGTCAGTACCTATTCTGACAATCATAAAACAGGTTGCGCTGGCGAGTTTTTATTGAATTTCGAAGAATTCTACGAATTCACCTTTCAAGTTGCAAACTGCAGAATAGATGACAAGGTATCTTGAAGGACACTGTTGCCATAATGCTTAAAAATAAAATCTCTTCATTTATATTAAATAATAAATTGAGTAGGTAACGCTTTTAAAATATTCTTGAAATGCAAAATTGGCACCACTTATCTTGTTCTAGAAAATTGAAAAACCGGTTTTCCTAACTAATGACAACATTTACCGATTAATAACAATTACTCTAAACAACGCGACAGACATTTATAATTTCACTTTTAATTAAGCATTTTTAAACAAGGGGCCTTGACAACGTAAGGTTATTATTTTCGTCTCAGTAAATCGAGGTTAAAGTAGAAAGTAATGATGGTATGTGTTGGATCCTCAGCTTTCGATATTTATTTATTTATTTTTTTACTTTTATTCTCTACTTCCTTAACATTTGTCACAAAATTAATAATAGCGTTTTGAAATATCTTATTAAAATCATACAAGGTTGACTGGTTTACACTTACAGGAAATCTACTCGACAGGAAAGTTATATGAAAAATGTACAAGTAATGTTAATTTGGGACGTTTACTTCATTTACTTACACAAAGAGTAAAGTGGCAAAAACACAAATTAAGAGAAAATTTGGCGCTAATTAATACTATTCTAGTAAGGTGCATCTTAAAATATTTACTTTCTAGTTACATTTGCATTCTTTTAGTCTACTTCGCTATATTTACAGGTTCTATTATCATCAGTCGTTCCTATATTTTTCTGAACTCATGTTATATACATGTTTGACAAATTAACATTTGTAATTCGTTTTATTTTCCTCTCTCTTCAATCGTGCTGTGAATAAACATGCAAAAAAGTCTAGAAACCTTGTATGTTTCCCAAGATTCGAATTGAGTTGTAAATTTTGACTGGTGAAAGAAAAAATCTGTAATCGGAAGAAGATTTATGTTTTACAGACAAAATTTAACTTTCATTTGCGCTTTCATGATTTTTTCTGAGTTGTTACATGGTTTGCTAATTAGATACGAAGAAAATGAAAGTAAATTACATGAAAATTTGTGGTTATGGTCATTTAAAGATGTAATCAAATTCAAGATTTCACACGCGGTCTATATGACATATATTTATGTAATGATACCCGAAATTACAGATAAAAGATTAAAAAAAGAAACAAGAACCCAATATAATTTGCTAACCAATTCTCACTCTAATATTAACTTTGTCAGATTTTTTTTGGACGTAATTATAATAATGGGCTAGAATTAAAAAAGAATTACTTAATATTTTTTATGGACATTTATCTACAAAATTGCCCACAAATTGTGGGATGTTTATTTTTTTCCACTGTAGAGATTATGAAAACGAAAATTATTATTTTTTTTTTTAATTAGTTTTAGAAGTATAGGTACTAAAGGAACTGAAACAGGAGCATCATGTTTGGTATCGTAGTACGCTACTTCACAACACAATACATTTTATACAATATTTTACATAGCCGACATGCTGGATTAAGATATTTTAGAATACTAAACACTAACTTCATTCCGGCATATAAACATATTTTTTTAAGATATTTTGCACTTAGGATATAGACTTATTAGTTTGTTTAACCATAGAAAATTTTGCAAATATAAAAATTTAAACTTTTTGTCGATTGTCAGTCTTACAAAAAAAAAGAAAAAAACTCTCTTTATATGTACCCATCATAGTAAAGAGATACCAGTTTCAGCTCAGCAATAAAAAGAGAACCTGTAATGTGTTTACGACTTAAGTCATTTTTTACGTAAAGCATGTTTATAATTATTCATATACTGCAGCATACGGGTTTAGTTAGTTTCTAATAAACCTCTCTTACTACTGAAATTAATAAACAAATTATAATTGATTGATTGATATGTTAAGTCCAGGTGCGTTGTTATGTTCCTTTGCCTGTTCAGTTTTGTAAAGTGGTATCTCCCTGTCAAATATATGATAATGATAACATTAATAATACGTAACCATGAAAGTTTAATGACACTGTAAGAGACTCATCTTAAAATTTAAACAATTCAATAAATCTTTGCGAAATAATAAAAATGATAGTAATTCCATATAGAAAATCCCACCTGGCTTAGGTAACACCAGTTGGCAACGTAGTTACTATTCACAGAATGTGACCCACATTTTGCTATTTAAAAATTCAAAGAACATCTTTGATTGAAGGAGTGTATGCATTTTTTGCAGAAAATATATTCATAAATTCATTCATGCGAAATTACTCGCATAGTTGTCTTCTGTAATATTGAAAACCTTTTTCATGTAACTTGTTCCCAGAATTTCTGCGACTTTTATGACTTGAAAAATTTACAGTCGATAAAAATGTACAGGTTTTTTAGGTTTAAATAATATCATCGTTGCATAATTGAATACATTTCAAGCTACTAATTTGTATAATTAAGTAGGCAGGTAATTATTTAACTCCGGCTAATTTTAACCTTGCAAAATTTAATAAATTGCTTGCCGTGAAGATATTTTCTTGGACGATAAGACGATTCGGTAAAAGTGAACTTGAACTTTATGCTTACGAAAGTCACACTTTTACAACACGACCATAATACCAGAGCGTACTCTACACTTTCCTATTCATGATTTGAGTTTCCATTGAAGATTAATTTAACCTGAAATGGATGACCGCATTTTTCCCATATGGATGTCGCAGTGTAAAACAGAAAACAGAATTTGTGACAATATGAAGATTTTTTTTAATAATCGAAAAACTGTAATTTAGCAAATGGTCACAACAATTTCACATGATTTGTCATCTATAGATATTTGCAGTTAAGAGCCAGAACGACAGGAGAGCGAAAGAAGAGAAGAAAAATGAAGAATTCGAATGCCCGCAGGGAGTCGGTAATGGAAATTTTGCAGACCCAGCAACGTGTAGAAGATTTTATCAGGTTTTCTCTTTGTAATAAATTTAAGCGCCAATTAAACGAGGCTTTTCAGTGTGTAGATGGTTATCCTTATTTGAACAGATGTCCTTCTGGATTGTTTTTTGATGACATAAGCAAATTCTGCACGTTTAAGAATGAAGCACGGTGTGGACCTATCGCTTCAAGTAAGTACAAAGAATTATAGAAACTTCAATAAGAGATGTAAACAGTGTTTGCACATAGCACCAGCTCCTATTACTGAACCACCGATCGATTTAGCTGTAAAGTGTAATCCAGGCGAATGTGCACTTCCGTATTGCTTCTGTTCGAAAGACGGGACTTTAATCCCTGGAGGCCTAGAACCAGAAGATGTAAATTTCTTATTATAGTCCTTTCCTAAAGTAATATTGTCGATTTTAGACTCCACAAATGATGCTTCTAACTTTCGATGGTGCCGTAAACTTGAACAATTATGACCATTACAGGAAGGTATTCAATAAGAAACGGCAGAACCCTAACGGTTGTGATATTAAAGGAACCTTTTTTGTATCTCACGAGTACAGCAATTATCAAATGATCCAACGCCTTGCCAATGAAGGTCATGAAATGGCTACTGAAACTATCTCGTAAGTATATTTTTAAATGTCATTCCGAAACAACTAATGTTTATCAAAGCTTGCAAATGGGTTTACAAGACAAAGGCTACGAAGAATGGGTCGGCGAAATGATTGGAATGAGAGAAATTTTGAGACATTTTTCGAACATTTCCAAAAGCGAAGTTGTAGGAATGAGAGCACCCTTTTTGAAACCAGGGCGTAATACTCAGTACAAAGTTTTAGAAGATTTTGGATACATTTACGACAGTTCTATCGGAGTACCGCCTTTAGCAGTACCAGTATGGCCGTATACTTTAGATTATAAAATACCTCACGAATGCAAATCCGGAACATGCCCAACTAAATCCTTCCCAGGTCAGTTAATAAATAAGGAAAAAGAAAAGTTTTAATTGCTTTGTAGGTGTTTGGGAACTTCCATTAAATGCTCATTATGTGGAAGGCTACGAAGGGGGACACTGTCCATACCTTGATCAGTGTGTCTTGCACAACCACGATGCTCAAGACGTTTTCGAATGGTTACAAGAAGACTTTAGTAAACACTACGAACAAAATCGAGCTCCATACATGATGCCATTCCATACTAACTGGTTTTCAATCAAAGAATTGGAACAAGGATTACAGAAATTTTTAGACTGGACCGTGACACTGTAAGTGATATTAAGAGGTGGAAATAATTTTAAATTTGCAATTTCAGGCCTGATGTTTGGTATGTAACGGGAACTCAAGCACTAACGTGGATGACGGATCCGAAAACCCTTAAGGAGTTGAATAATTACGAAGGATGGGGTTGTAAAAACAAGGCGAATTTGCCCCCTAAAACGTGCAACAATTCAAATAAATGTGCTCTTAACTTTAAAACGCCTGATTTAAATTACACAGATACGAGATATTTAGAAACTTGCAATGAATGTCCCAATCAATATCCTTGGTTGGGCGATGCGGAAGGATCTGGAATACCAGGAAGGGATAATTATGTTCCTGATAACGTTAGGAAATAGTACAACGTCATATTTTAGCAATATTTTTTATTAACGTTCAAACCAAAATGTTTTTAAATTAAATAGGTAATACCAGTAAGATTGTCTATTATTTATTATAGGCATATAACAACATGAACCAGGTGTATAAACTTTGTATTGTTGTTTTTGAAAAATAAGAAATAAATTATTGTTATATAACTTTTTGGAAATCGTATTCGTGCCAAGAGTGTCTGTTTGAAAATGAATTAATTCTGTATTCACAGTTAATTATACAAGTGTAAATTATGCTAATGTTGTGGAGGGTTATTATGAGTCTCATAACATCCTATAAAATAATAAATGCCCCAAGATTTCAATATAATATTCGATATGCAATAGAATAATGAAAAAATATAGCTTTATTTTATAATTTTTATAGTATAATATTTTAAGAACAGAAAAAGCAAATTTTTGACAGTTCAAAATTATTAGCCTTACCTTAAAAACAGCATTATAACTGAGACATTTGCATTAAATATTTCTTCAAAATTTACGCGGTATTCATAAATGCAACATTAAGCAAAGCAAGATTTAGTCGACAATTTGTCGATATCGATCAAGATTTGAAAATATGCAGACAAATTCAAGTTTCGGGTAAAATTAGGTACTTATGTTTCATAATTTAATTTAATCACAAGAAACCCCAATACAAAAATATTTTATAAATAATATATAAAAATATGTACTGATGAACTAAAATTAAGACTAAATAAATAATTATTTAAATATTATTAATATGTAAATACAATATGATGTGCTGTTTGAATAATTTGCCTTTAGCAGAATGAAACATTGACAGCTATTTGTAGCAGGAATATTCATTTATTCGTTGCCTCCACCACTGTTTTCAGTAGATGACTGCAAATCACGTTATTATTATGTATGACTACAGGATGAAGATTTAAAAACGTTCTACTAATAGGTGTTATTCGGTTTAATCTGTCAAGTCGCATAAAATATCAGATTTATGTCAACTTTAAAAAACGCTAGTGTTTTTTGGCCATACCACTGCAATCTCTATACTCACATGGAAAACAAAATCTAGAAAACACGAAAGGAATAATAGTTATTTACGCGGCAAGCTTAGTAAATTAGCCTTTACGGGCGAGCCGGAATGTTTGCTGTAATCCGGTGAACCCCAGTAAAACCTAATTGTAAACGAGCCGCGTACAACGTTTTACTTCCTCTTGCTGAAAATCCTGGAAATTAACAACTTTGGCATCTCTAGAAATTTTACTTGAAATTACAGTCATAGAAATTATAGTCATTTTCCATAGTTTGCTCTGGTAACTATGGAAAATTGAATTGTTTGAAACGCAACTGTCAATTTGTAAACTCTGTTAATTATGGAATGCGATAAAGATGAAGAGTTTGAACGTGATTTTAACGTTAGTATTAGTGAGATTAAGAAAAAGGCCGACGCAGCGAATGTGCGTTTGATTCCGGTGCTTGTAAAGCTGTCATGATAACGTTTTACAGGCCTGTAAAGCTGCCACGGTAACGCTTTACAGGCAGAGTGCGTGTTAAGACTAATTTACCGAGTTAGTTCAGACGACAGTAAATGTGCTTTAACAAGACAAGAGGAAGTAAATGCAAATACAAAGCTGCCCCACATCTGATAAAATGAATGAATAAGAAAAAATGGGTTTGGGGGAAAAGAGGTTGGGGAGATAAAAGAGTTCAAATACTACCATTCAGGGGATGCACATTCAGTAGTGTAATAACTGTAATAAAAGCTACTTAAGTCAACTGGCCGAAAAGGCTAATAAGGCATAAGGTTTGGGGTACGGGAAAATATGGAGATGACACAAAGAGAAGGGTGATGATGTTTGATAGCTTGGTAAAGAGTATACATATTGATGTCTGGATCGGAAGTGTGGGAAAGAATATGATGAATTAGAGAAAGTGCACGTGAAATATCTGAAGTGGGTATTAGGACTAAATAGGCAAACACCAGGATACATTTTTAATTATCTAACACGCATGTTCAAATCTGAATATAGTACAGGAACGATGCGAATTTTCGCGGACTGGAAACCGAGACGCGTACCGAGAGTTGGGACAAATCCGCGATTGCCGCGCCGACGCTGCCATGCAACAACAATTCAAGAAGTAAGTCTTCGCTTGGGTGGAAGTAAGCTCAAGAGAAGTGTAAAAGTTCTTTTTGGAAAGTGTGATAAGATTGTGCAGTCCAACTCTCCGACCACTGTAAGTACCGTTTTGGGTCACCTGCCCGTTTTTAAATCGCTGCCTCCGAACGAGAAATTGTACCGCCGTCTCCGTTTTTTTGTTTTGTTTCTTTAACACAAGAAGAAATCGTTGACCATGCGTCCGCGTCGTTCTCTGCCCTCGCGCTCCCCTACCGTGTCGTGGTACCGTCCCCGCGCGATTTTCCGTTCCAGGGTCGCCGCCCCCAGGACCAGGAGTCTGTTGTGAGGGCGGCAGACACTTTGTATTTGTTGCCGTTGAAAAAGTATTTTAAGATTAGCCCTAAGGTTATCCGGTTATTGTTAAAAATTCCGGAGTGTTATTTCTGGTTTCCGCGGGCGGAAACGAGACTACTTGGAGATCCGTGTCTCCGGCTTTAGAACCACGTAGGTGCTTTCTCCCCAGAGAGGGAGCTGGCGCCCGAGCACCGCTGCTCCCGACCTAAGGCGCCACCCCCGGTGGCATGAAGGTAACCTCTACCTCATGGGCTAAGTCGGCTCGACGTGTATCTTCACTAGTCGGTCCAGGGCTTGGCACTGAGGTACGCCACCCACACGCGATATCGGCGAAATTCCGGACTGTAACTGACCAGCCGCCCATTCACCGGAGTTTTGTCGCAGTACCATCCAAACACACAATCGACCATCCATCCCCAAATCTAAGAACAAAATTCGCACATTCACGAATATCAACTATCATTGCGCTTGTCAGACATAGTGAACAAAATGCGCCGAACCGCACAAAAATTGTACCCAAACTAAAGCAGTAGCAAGCGAAACCCAGACCTATAAATCTAAAAAAAAAAAAACTGGAAGAAAGAGCGCCGGCTTTACTAACCAAAATGATACAGATTGACGCAACAAAGAGATGAAAGCATGGGAACTGAATGATGCAAGCTAAAAAACCGGAAAAATTTACAAGTGGACCTGACCCGAACTCGCTTAAATTCATCGGAGAAGAAATCGTTTACCGGGCGAAACTAGACATCCCACGAAAAGCTTTATTACACCTTTTTACTACACTCCAATGTCACAAAATAAATTAGCTAAAATTCTTATAAAAGCGGAAGTCTCGAGATGCTTTCGGTTGTGCTATCAGCGTCTTCTACGATTTTTCCCCAAGGCGAATCTCTGTCCGAATTTTTGCTGGATTTTGAAGAAATGAATTAGAAAAATTTCCATGTTGCATTTGTGTAAAACCCTAATACAAGAAAACATGGTAGACATCGTGTACAAAATCGGTCGGGCTTTTCTAGCGTAAGGGTACCCGATTAGATTAGTGCCTAATAGAAAAATAAAAATAATTTTTCCCCTCCTGACATGTAAACAAAACATTCACACACGTTTGACATGCCGCGTAACAGTGACTTTACGCACCAAATATCAATTTACCGTCGCTTTACCGCCTTTGGGTGCCAAAGTAACTCAATATGCATTAGCCTGTAGAAGCTCTAATAAAAAAAGTTCTGTATGAATAATAAAAGAAAACATACTAGAACACTACTTTACATCATGTTTTGTTCAATCAAAACTTTTGAATTAGAAAAAATGAATTATTTAAAAAAAAATCACATGGCGCCACCTCGTGACTGTCGGTATTATAGATTCCTTCAGTAAACGTCAAGTCCCGAAACTGTCACTTCATTTCTTGCCATTTCGGAAAATATTTTTAAAATGAAATATTTTTTAAAATAAACTCAATGTCGGGGAAAAAATTGAATACAATTTTCGTGCGTTAGGCATTTTGCAGGTTTCGGTCCCATGCCACCCTCCGCTTCGCGTCGGGTGGCAAATTAGGACCTCAACCTGCAAAATATTACCTACCGCACTCGCATAATGTAAATAACTATTGTTAGTGTCCAAATGCTCGACCGCAGTCAATAAACAATTTGTGTCCGACAGGGGCTTGTAATAAAGTTATTCACCTTCACCGTCCAGTATATAGGTCCGGTTATTCAAAAACTGTAGTAGTTCTGAAAATAAACCAGTAATTATAACACCTTCCGCGGCGACTGATTCTTTGATAACCCAAGTAAATCTAATTAATCAGAAACAACACCCATTTACGTAAAACCATGCTTTATCACTAAATAAATAAATAAAATAAATAAATAAATAAATAAATAAATAAATAAATATATTATTAATATCCAACAGACATTAGTGTCTAACAGGATTAATGTAAGAGTTATATAAATACAAAATATCAATATAGAAGACATATATAAATATAAAGAAGACTTAGCAAAATAGTAACACATAAAACTACAAACTAACAACCAAGGACGCTTTTACATTGTGAACAAAATTTTTTAATATCGTACGTAAATATATCGACCTCCGGTATGCCATTATAACACCGACACATATTATTTAGTGGGGCATTCATGTGCTGATTTGTTTGACAAATGCTAAGAGCAAAAGTTAATGGACAACGGGAATTTAATCTAGGCACATGAAATTTGATCTGATTAACAAGACTACTACAACTAATAACGCCATTAATTAATTTAAATAAAAATAATACATTTGCGAAAGTTCTTCTTGCTTTTAATGAGCACAAGCCAAAAGCCGATAATAATACTGGATGACTGAATGATCTTACAGGATAAACACCGTACTTAATACAATAAAGTCACTTACAATACTTCCGTTGAATACGTTCTAAGTTATTAATGTGAACATTATACAACGGATCCCATACCATGGAACAATATTCTAATTTGGATCTCACGTACGCAAAATAAAGAGAGAGTAAAACATCAATATTAGTGAAATGCAGGGTGTTTCTATAGATAAAACCAGACATTTTCATAGCATGATCAGTAATATAGTTTATATGTGGTACGAA